ATCTATCTATCTATCTATCTATCTATCTATCTATCTATCTATCTATCATGAACAGAACAAAATGAGAAGTTACCATTTTACTGAGTGAGAGAAATATACAATCGGACAGAATAAGCAGGCACATATGTGATAAAGCAAGATTCTCAATTTAAATAATGTCTAGACGGTCACCAACCCAATCCTAAGAATAACAATAAAGCCTCTGGGAGTTCCTTGGCATGTCTGGTAATGTCACAGGGACCACATCTTAGATATAGAGATGGCTCAGGCTCATATTTAAATTTAGGTAGTTCCCATATCCTCCGCATCTTTATGTAAAGTCAGAGGGAGGCTTTTCGTCTGCAGCTCCTTTATGCAGAGTCAGAAAACCACCTCTCTCCATAGATAGAGCAAAATGCTGATTTGGATTCAGGAAACGTTCAGTTCACTTCCTCCAGCAACACAGTTTCACATCTATTACATCTTGTTCTCCAACTTTATGTTTCATTTTGCACGAACACCCACCGCCTGTTTCTAACACAGGGATCAACACCTATATCACCTTACTAACATTTGTTTGAAAACACAAAACCATCAAAGATGTTGTCTCGATTGACATCTGGAGCAAGTTATTTAAAAAAAATGCATTAATAAACCCGTAGTCCTTGAAAAAAAAGACACCCATTATGCCAAAGTGGCATCTGATGTGATAATAAGTAAAGCAGCTTTACTGGGACTTTGGTGTGGAATCTCTGAGCACTGGTGTTGCATTGGAGCTACTCCTCTAAGAGAGATTCTCCATTTTGTTTATCTTAAACAAATGCACAGAAACTCTTGCACATTTGCATGCATGTGGTGACACAATTTCCCTGCTGATGATTTAATACCATTGCATTAGAGAGAAAAGGCACAAGCTAGCAATACAGAACCTTAAGCATTGAGCACATCTGACCTTCTTGCCTACTGCATTACAACTTTTAATTTCTGTTAATATGGTTTGGAATTTCATAAAGGCGATGGGATTAGATTGGAGACAAAAAATAGTTTAATTTCTTTAAGTGAAATTAGTAGTAAAAAAATCTGAATGGGGAAAAACACATTCAAAATGACCATGAGCATTTTTGGCATATATTTTCAAAGTCAGAAATAATCCAGCCAGAAATAATTGCATTAGTTTAGATAAGGCCTCATAGTCTGCTACACCAGGCAAGTGAGCACCACAGTAAATATACTGATTATGTTTAGGCTACAAAGAGATGTCATAACTCAGTATATTCCTTTTTTTCTTTTCCCTCAGCATCCAAAAAAGTTAAAGGAATTACCGAACTCATCCACCAGAAAATGGGGTGGTTCAGAGATGTAACAAAGAGACCATAGGTAACCCTGAATAATCTGAAGCATCAATGCTGATATTTCACTGCCTGTCCATTGAGTCAGTTGAAACTTTGTATTCTATATTAGATAAATTGATGGTCTTTGTGGAAAAGTGGTTCTCGTTTAATAAAAAATACAAAAAAGCGTTTTCAAGCAATATAGAATAATATCTTGGCAGTTATTTTACCTGATAAAGATCCAGATCGCCAGTTAGACATCTCATTGATATAAAATGGGACAGGACTGGATATTGTTTGTTCTAAGTAGCTTCTAGACAGATATTATGTAAGGGCATTTCAAGGTGATGTCGTGAAAGGTAATGGAGCAAATGCCTTGACTACAAATGGGGTATTACAGAAAGTTCAGGAACGATATCTTCTCAAGGAGAGGATAATGGTCTTTCAGATAAATTATTGGTTTTGTATCCTGCAGAACTTTCTCATTCGCAAACATTGAATAATGACAGATTATCACCACTTAACATGTGCTCCCATTCAAAATCATCTGCCTTAAAAGTTGCCACAACCCAAACATTGAGGTTTAGTCCTTGTATCCCCAAAGGTGAATCCCTGCTCCCCCTAATTATTTCTTCTTTATTGAAACCCCTTAAGGTAATGTCCTTAACAATTCATTTGCTTCTCTCCTTTGGATCACCAGAATTGATAAATAAGCATCCTTCTAACCAATTTGCCATAATAAAGTACAGCTTTGTACCCCTGAAATATGGGCTACATCTTTTAAAGGCAGTACATGTATTTGACTGATTGTAAATTTCTCAGTTTACAGACGGTCACAGGGTGCATTTATTGCCATGCTTTTGAATGTGTAATCACATATGCATATGCATTTCACATAGGTTGAAGGCACATATATATATATATATATATATATATATATATATACATAGAGAGAGAGAAAGAAAGAAACTGACCTCATCTCTTCACCTCATATTTCTTCCAAGTCATCCTCTAACAGTACTTTGCCAAAGACTTTAAAGTCACTTTCATTCCACCCCCATCATTCCCAAGCCACAGTTGGGGGTTGATTTCTGAACTGCTATGTGCCTTTTTATAAACATTCCAAAGCATGTCAGCATGATTGGACAGGCAACAAGGTTACTAATGAATGTACACGTGTTTGGGATATGCCTGATTTGAGATCAATAAGGATAATGAATAAGGGACAAAGCCCACTGGTGTTTTGTTTATTACTGTCGTATCTCTAACCATACTAACACATATGTTCACTCACCAACGAGCGCACTTATCCAGACAGGCACAATGTGACCCCTTGAACCCCAGCGGCGAGCGAGATAGCTGCTATTTGACAGTGTGTCAGCAGGCCCAGATAAACTCCACCAGTTCTCCACAGAGCCTGTCCTCCCTCCTGCTGACCAATGAGACATTTTCACACCTCTAACCATCTGACCTCGCCTTTGCAGAGTCCTTTACGCAGCCTGCTTAGCACTGCTGTGTCTCGCAAATGAGATGGCATACAAGATGTGACTCATTTTTACTGGACTTTAGGATACAGTGAAAGTAAATGGTGTGATAGTGTATTATATTTGGGCCATGACCACACAGTCCATTTCCATATAACGATACGAACAAGTCCATTTGTTTGTATCGTTTCTTAAAATGAAATAATTAGCATTGTTTTGAGTCAGTTTATTGTAGTGAAGGTTGGTTCACCGGAATGAGAAAGATTCATATTTGCTCCTGTTTTTACACTCTTATGTAAAAAGTTCCCAGTGCCTCAGCATTTAAAAATCCCTGTCATTTTGGAAATCTTGCTTCAGAAAATAAACAGTCACCCCCCTTTGTATCTTAATGGGGTTTTACAAATAAAGAAAAAATTGTTTTCAAGCAGCCATGACTCTCAATTACCTATGTACAACTGTGTAACAATCCCCATCAAAGAAAACAAATCTTTCGTACGTTTTTTTTTGTTACAGCTCCTCCTACAACTAGAAAGTATCTGATTCCTTTTTATACTGACACAAGTTTACTCTGTGTACATGAAAGGAAACTATATTTATAGAATCATAAGAGATGTGACATGGTATTAACGCTCCTGCAGGATCAGATACATTATCCTTGTTAGTCTGAATAAACCCTGATTTAGATTATCCAGAGATCTAAGGTTTATCCATTACTGGTTAATAAAATGAAACAGCCCTTTACATTTAATCAAATTCTGAAATCACAGATTAATAAATTACAAAAACAAGAGACAATTAGGTCAGAAATTTAAGCATTTTATTTATTTGTGGACACACCACCGTGTTGTGATGTGTCACAGTAATCAGTAGTCACAGTAACCTGAAGTAACTCAAATGTTTCATGACAGGGTCAAATTTGTAGTTCCATTAATGTGACTGGGTAAACAGATTTTGCCCCCCCCTATCATCACCAGTAATACCTGAATCACAGTGACACATCCACACACACAGTCACCTTCAGCGGGAAGCAAAATTGGGTTGTCAGTCAAACAGACAACCTTAAAAGGGCACAGAGCCCTGGAGGAGATATTAATGAATGAAATATAGCTCAAACACAAACACACACACACATACACACACGTAGTACAAATCTGCCAAAACTGAGACAGTCCAATATCCTCTAAACCAGCTGTTGTGGATCACTGGATGTATTATGTAATGCATGACTTCCCCTCCCTTAAACCAAGCTTTGTTTGCATTGAGGAAGCGATAAAACAATGAGGAGAGCAGTGATGAGGAGTAAATATGATGACTATAGTATCCATCTAGGTAGTTAGGACATTTGGCTCCGTTCGTAGAGACTCTTTTTGTGAAAAGGAAAGATACACTGTGCCATTCTTATCCTAAGTCATTTAAAAAATAAATTGCACATAATACTGTTGCTTGGATCTGGAATGCATTAGTTTCCTCTCTTTCACTGCCCGCTGCCATAATCTGGCACCACATTCATCCCTGTGTCCAATAACAAGTTCTTTTCTCCTCACTTTTCTTCCCTTCCACTTTTCTGTCCCCTTGACTTTCTCCTTGACGTACTGATTTGATAATGCTCCATTGAGATAAAAATCTTCCGCCATTCACTGCTATTTTAATAACACTATAATTCTCATTGCTTTGAATTTGTGCTAATGTGTGTGCTTGTGTACACATAAATACAATATGCCAACTGACCTTGGCAATGTTCACATGCAGCTCTCGAGAGCCAGTTTTGGCAGAGTGAAACAGACAGTTTTTCATAATAAGAATCTCCTGTCTCCTCTTTTCATATTCATTTTTGCTTATAGCGTTTTGGGATTGAGTTGATTTAAGTAAATTCTCTGTGTAAAGCAATATTACTTCTCTGTAAATTCCCTCATCTTCACATCCATGTCCTTCCCTGAATTTGTTTTGTCGTATGTTTTCAGGAGATGTTCACACCAGAGTGTAAATTCAAAGAGTCCGTTTTTGAGAACTACTATGTGATCTACTCGTCCACGGTGTACCGGCAACAAGAGTCAGGCCGAGCGTGGTTCCTTGGCCTCACCAAGGAGGGACAAGTTATGAAGGGAAATCGAGTCAAGAAGACTAAACCCTCATCGCACTTTGTGCCGCGGCCCATCGAAGGTATTTCAAAGTTTGCTGAAAAATGTGTCAGAAACAACTTTTCAGTGACCATTTAAGTAATTTAACTGGAAAAGTTTGGTGAAACATCTCAGAAGTATTTAAACCACATTTTGGCCTTTTCTTTTTTACAAACTGATGATGGATTTCAAAACATTTGTCTTCCTCACCAACAGTAGTCAAAAACTGAGAAGTGTTGTAAAGTGTGTAAAAGTCTAATTCTGATATTATGTCACAGTTACGTTTGTTCTTAATTTTGAACACCAAAACATTTCTATGTAACAGCAACATGTGGCAACATTTTGTTTAGGGCAACATCCATGTCACACAGACAGAACTTTGACCAGGGAGTATTGAAATGTATCCGTCCTAACAGGGTCTTCTTTTTTAGCCCATTAATTCCAGCCTTGATCACTGATGTTTGAGAACGCAGCAATGAATTACAAGTAGAAGTAGAAAAAGGGAAAGGACTGTATATAACAGAGCAATATGTCTTTCCAATTAGCAATCTCTTGAAGAAAAGTGAGCATAGTGATTCTTCATCCTTTGTACTCCCTATAACATGTATAACACACAGATAAGATGTTGCATATGAAATGCATTGTCCCGCACATCTTGCGAACTAATTTTAGAATTTAAATTCCTAATATGGAAAATCTATCTCAACTCTGTTCCTGCGAGCAATTTTCTTTTTAATTGCTGTAGTATTCTTCTTATCTTATCTATGAAACATGGCAATGGTGCTGTAAAATAATGATTGGAGGTTTTTTTCTGCATCTGGGCCTAAATGGCTCATCATCACTGCTAGATCATTTGAATAATGTTTATGTAGAATGTGTACCATTAAAATGACCTTAAACACAGTTTGTTATTTAAAAATAGTTAATCATGATGAAGGTAATAGAGTTTTGGACTTGTCAAATCAAAGTTCCAACCTTAATTGAATAGAATGATTCTGGAGTAATTATTCTTAGGAAAACTACTAACTTTGCAGAACTTAAAATTTTTGGAGTCCCTTGTAGTGTCAGCAGTTTTCCTCACACATATGTGTGCAAGAGTGCATAATCCCGCCCGATAAACGAATGACTAAGTAAGACATTTTTTATAGTAACACTCTTGATAGGTTACTCTGTATCTACCTTTAGGACTGATTCAACTCAATCTAACTTTTTCAGGAAGAGGAAATGGAATTCACAAACTTTCAAAAACTAATTTTTTCTGTAAATCTGCATTTTACAGGATTTGTTTGAGCTAAGAATTTCCTAAAGCATTACATTCACAGCTTCTGATTTTCAAAACAGCACAGTTTTAGTATCATACCTAAGTTTAGGTCAGTTTTTTGTGCAGCCATGCAACTGTTTCAGACATAGGTTCTTTATGAAACCTCGCCTGTCCATATTTACGGTGAGAGTGGTTTTATGAAAACTTGACATGCAGTGTGATGGGGGAAAGTGCTGACATAGCCCTCCTTCCCTTTTCTTATCCCTCTCAGCCTGGTATAATTGTCCCAGCCTCACACCTGACCTTGTCTGTCTGCACATCCATCTCTTCAATCTGCTCTCCATTGTCCCCTTTCTGAGCACCTCCTATCTTTGTCCTTCCCTCTTCTTCCCTTTCCATTTTCTTGGCCTCTCTTTACATCTCTGTCACAGTTTGTATGTACAGGGAACCATCAATGCATGAGATAGAGGACAAGCACCGCTCCAGGAAGAGCTCAGGGACCCCCACCATGAATGGAGGAAAAGCTGTCAATCAGGACTCCACATAGCACCAGGGAGAGGGGCTTCCAGTAGGGGGGGGATTGGCCTCATCCCGACTCAAAGGAAGGGGCCAGACGAAAGTTTGACCCTTCCCCACCCCCTTCAGATATCCGCACCACCATACCCTCTTAATAAAAAGAGGGTGTCGCGATGGCGAGGAGGAGCTACGACTGGAACAACAAAACAAAAACTGAACTCTTGCCTGTGAAGACCTTTTAAATGAATTATGAAACCAGAGAGTTATATATATATAAATACATATATATATATATATATATATATGAAGAAAAACATTTTCAATCAGGATTTGACCAACATTTTATGCAAAAAAAAGTGAAAAAGCTGTGATAAACAAAGACAGAAATGGTGGTCTCTGCTCAAACAAATAGAAATATCTGTCATTTCCAATTTATGCTGTGAAAAACGAGCTTTAAAAGGTGTTTGAGTTTCATACAGTTATTTTTCCTAAATGCTATTGCACACTCATGAAAGTCATGGTTTAGTTGTTGTCTCTAATAACTATACCTTTGTCATTACAGCCAGCGTTACTAATCTGAGCATTACATCACATGTACTGTGGTATTGATTTTGGGTCACTTTAGTTTTTGACCGGTTCTCTTTATTCACACCTAATTTTATGTTAATTCCCACTGTTGTATCTTGAATGCACTATCTCTGATGTGAGAGTAGGACTGAAAGTTTTGATAGTTCTCTGTGTTGGGCTCCAGTGCTTCAGGTGAGATGTAGTTTACTCAGGTGCATCCTGTAAGTCAGAACAACACTGATAAAAGCAATATAATAGAAGGCAATTGTGTATGTCTCTGAATAATACTAATAGCAAGCTGGCAACACAATACTGTAATTGTTGTTTGTAGAAAAGACTAAGGAAGTTGTAAAAGTAGGTGAATGTCAGCAAAAGACGAAATTTGTTTTTATATATTTCCAACATCAATTTAACCAATATAATTAGATTATAAACAAAGTAATGTCAGAATAAAAAGAATATGACTCTCTCCTGATGTTAAAAGGAAGATGATGACCAGCATTGACACTATGAGCCACAGCTGAAATGTTCATAGAACACTTGCACCTCAAGTCACAGATGCTGTTTCTCTGCTGTTAGCTATAACAAAAAACCTCAAATTATAAACCTGTAACAGCTTTCCTGCTCATGAACCATATGGATAAATAGGGACATAATTTATGACTTGTACTGTTTTATCCAAGAACAAATGAGAGAGAAATTGACAGTTTTTGGCAGGTTTGACAGAATGTTTTTGTGTTAGTTCTTTCATTTGTGTTACTTTTAAATGTGAAATTTGTTAAGCATTTTTAACATTGGTGGACAGGATGTCTGACTGTTTAACAAACATCTGAACCGACATAATGATATTTTCAACATGAGGTCACAATCACTTTTCCATCACAATGGAAGCGAAGGGTTTAGCTTCAAACCTGACTAACGCTTCAACATTAGTCCGGTTTTAGGCAGATGTGAGGTTTGGTGACATGGCAATGCATACAGTCGACATCCGTTTTTGTGATCCACAAAGGGAATCATTCGCTGCATTGCGGAGGAGAACTTTCCTAAATCAACACAGTGACAGGGCTTTAGAAATAGGTGAACTGACAGGTACGCCTCATACGCTGTGTACGCTGCCATGCTTGATCATAATCCCCTATTAGTTTGTCTAACTCAGGAAGTTCCATATTTGTTCCATGAATGGGGCCAGGCTCAAAGGATAGCTGCCCATCATCCCGCGCTTGTTGCACAAAGGCTAATGTTTTAGAACTGGTCTGATAACACACAGCTAACTCTAGCCATGTTAGGAACGCTGGAAATGGAGGAAGTTTGTAACCATATACGACCATCACATGACTGTAAAGGTTTATGAGTTTGGTTCAGGTGAAATCTAATTATAAAGATCTTTTGAATTTAGGGAGTCCAAAACTTTTATATGCAATATTTTGATGAGTATTTTAGTGATCAGTCTGATTACAACTCTCCTAATGTTTATCTGGTTAAATACATTTGCAAGGTCGATGGTATACACAGTTAATAGCACACATTCAGTTGCACAGAGCAAACAGGAGTGATATATCACCATGGATCTGGGAGGATCTTCCACCTGGGATCCAGCTCCACAGCTGATACAAGTTACCTGCAAGAGGCAGTGGTAGAATAGTTCAACTTCCACATCTCCGTCTGCATTACAGTGAAACATACATTATATTAGATATGACACTGAACGTCAGCAGGCCAGACCAGCATATATGTATCTTTTTACAAAGGTGTAAAGTGGTGAAAATGAAATTCATTTGGATTTAAAGCAATGCATGAAATTGAATGTGTACATTGTTAACTGACGGCAGGATGAAAAGATGTAAGAAATGAAGAAAAGGTGAAAAAATAGCTGATGTAAGGAAACTGAAAAGCAAAGCACTTTTTTGTGGGTTTGTTGATGTATGATAGGGTGACCGAAGGCTTTGGTTGTATGAGATATTGAATATAATTTGATATTTTTTTATGTTTGCAGATGATTTCACTGCATTGGAACACAGTCATATATGCATTATGAATTGTGAGATGACAAAAATATGCATTGATTATAAAATTCAGAATGGAGTTAGTGATTGTTTAAGAATAAAGACTATGTTATCAAAAATGTCACTTTGCAGTGATTGATCCAGTGTGTTGTTGATCACAGTCCCTTTGCAACACAACAGAAAAGTAAATGGCACAATGACCTGACAAAGTTAATCCATTGCAGTTGGAATTTTGTTGTTTTCAAATCAAGAAAATCCAATCTGTCACCTCTATCATTCACTAGCGATGATTTATCATGTCACCACCCCCTAAATCCTCTCTGTCATTTTGGGATAGTGCTCCTTTGCCTGTAATTCTCCCGTTGTCATGGAAACAGACCTTCCGTGCTGTCTGCAAGGCGAATGAGAAGGAGGAAGAAGAGGAGGATGAAGGCTCCCTGACTTTTAGGATGCAGCTTGTATTCTCTCCTGCTCAGTGGCTGCACCACTGAACAGCGGGGCATTGGGAGTTTGTTGCTCCCTCTTCTATTTTCATGTTTTCTTCACGCAATGTGCGTAGCAGAGGAGGCTACAAGGCTGGAACTTGAGAGAAAACATATCCTCCCACTGAGATTTAGACATAGGACACTTGAAGACAAAAAAAGTAGGTTGGGTAAACTTGCTATCCTGTGATTTTCCAATACATTAAAGAATATTTTCCTCTTTTAAGAATAAAAATAAACTCTCACACAGACACATGCAACAGGCACCTATTCTCACCTCCACCAAGAGAAAATTGCAAGGAATTTTGGAAAATATCTTAATTAAATCATGCAAAAGACTATTTGTTTTGGAAAGTATAGGTTCACTCATTCATTTGCCAAAGACAGTACATTTTTCCAAAAGTTTAAAATTCATCGAATGCATTTACTGACAGTTCATCATGCTCAGCCTGTCCATCCATTACTGCATCCCAACAATTTTGCAAACCAGGTATTTATCACTGATATTCTGATGTACTTCTCTGACCACATTGATCCGTGTCCTCGCGAGTTTCCACAACTTTGAGAAGAGGCTATTATGTTTTGCTCTTCTGGTAAGTCTCCCAGGATGCACAGTGAAATGCTTGCTGATAGTCCAGAAAGTGGAAAGGGATTCAGATATTTGATCAACAAAAAGGGTTTATGCCATTCGATTGCTCATTTTACTCATCTGATGATACATGACTGATCAGATTGAAATACAAATGCCTGCTGCTTGCTCACAGAGTGACTTCAAGGCTTACATTCTAAACTCATTCAAGCTTATGCTTCTTATCAACGACTGTGTGTGAGGCAGTCTCATTCCTGATGCTGTTTGTGCTTTCCTGGTCGTGGAATTAACTACAAATTGCTTTTGGAGCAGAATGTCTTGCCTCATCTCTTCCCAGATAACTTCCCCTCCTATCACATCTAACACCCCTACACGTACAAACTTTGCACATCTCCTCCACTTTTACTTTCACTGTTGAATTAATTTGGTCTTTGTTGAGTTTCTCTTTGTGCATTGCTTTTTTAACTTTTTCCTTGGAAAAAAATGACAAAAGTGTGTGTGCTAAAAGAGAGTGAATAACAATTGTAAACATGTGAATGTACAAAAGTTCTTAATTGGCTCAGAATAACATGCGCAATCAGAAGGAAATGCACCTTTTTTGCCTTATTTCACAGCAGTTAACCGGGCTTTTAACATTTTTCCATAAGAATTAAAGCATTGTTGCCATTTCATTTGATGGTATGTAGACCTTGTGGCAATTCAGACTTTCCCAATTTTCTTCACTGAAAATGTAAGAAATACTTCTTAATACTTAAAGATTTCACATGGTGAGTTGAATCAAAGAATTTTGGCTGGTCAGGTCAAACTATGAAGACTGGTACTTCTATCTTCTGTCTATCATCAAAGAGAGTAAACATTTGAAGGGTATAATGATAAACAGCTTTGAGCCTGAATATCAATTTGCATAGCCAAATCACTGTGTGTGTCCGATAAAAAGAATACCAACAAGCGACTCAACAAAATGTCATTATCCTGTCTTTACTCCCAAAACATCTGTGAAACTACGTGGCAGATTTGTTGTAAATGTGTCATTGCATTTGAAGCGTTACAGATTCTCCGTGGCTGAAATATCTCATTACCGGGATATTGTCAAGTCAATCTTTTCTGAATTTGTACTTGATGTGTTACCTTCAGGTTGAATTCAAAGTCTTACATGAAGAATCTTGCTCTAGAAATCAGTGATATAAATTCAGACTATGGCTATTACTTTTCATCTGCTGTTTTTACAGAGTTGTACATGGGTCTCTCTTTGGCAGGCTCATGAGTGTGCAAAAACAGTTTTCATCTAGGTCTGTCTCCCTCTCTTTGTTTTGTTGTTTTGATATGTACTCGAGCCCCTTGGACTTGATTCATCTCTTTTCTCTCATCCTCCTAGGAAGTCATTGAGGGAACTCCTACTAAGAAGTAGGACGTTCAGTGCTGCTCATTAAAAATAATTAGCTTCTGTTCAATTAATACTCAGTGATGCTCCTTTGAAGTAGCTGGCTCGTACTTTTAATCTGATTGCCTAAGAGTGATAATAGAAGTTTGAACGTTATGAGCGTCTTCAGTTAAAGCTGAATCCAAACCTTCAGGTCTCTGCTGCTGCACCTAGTCTACAGTGAGATGGCACAAACAGACCGTGTAAAAGTGCATGCATGCAGTATACGCACACCCACACACACTGAAAACCCACTTACTAAGCTGGCCTCCCACACATATTTGGAATTTTCTCATGCACTATTAATTTATCGAAGGAGCACTACAGTATGTGCATGTTAATGCGCTGGCAGTGGTTTTTACAGAAGAAAACGGTCCTGTTGAATCCCGGCAGCCTGGGGACAAAAAAAGATGCTAAGCCAAGCTTTGACTGCAGTTGTGTTCGAACACTGTTACTTTAATAATTCCCTCTCTCATCCCCTGCCTCATCCTCTTCATGCCGCTCATTCCCTTCCCCTCCTTTCACACTCTCCTAATCTCTATTCCCTGGCCACCTTTCCATTCAATTTGATATGTCTCCTCAATCTAGCCTTCCTTTGCAGCATCCTAAATCAAATCTATTTCAGTCTGCTGGTTTTTTTTGCCTGTTTCTGATTGATGAGTTCACATACTTCTCTGCAGATTTGCTTCAGAAGCACATGCATTCTTCATGCACAGTAAAGCTTGATGTATTTTAAGGCAGTGGTTAATAGAACATTCTCTGTGCTTAACACGAATGCAATAATTTAGCAGGTTTTGGGGTGTTCAAGCAGATAAACACATGACTACCCAGAAACCGTTGAACCTCTTGTTAATTCAAAATGCATGCGTATGACAAACAGTACATAAAATCGCCATCTCGTGTAAGATTCCCTTGGTGGCTCCATTATGAAGCACTCATGGGACACGCATGTTTTTGCGTCACTGTTATAACGATTCTTCTTCAACATCAAAGACATGGAAGCTGGCTTTAAGAGTTTGAAGTTTCTGTTTTTATTGCTTTTCTGGTCTACCATGGAACAAGAAATTTCAACCCCTGTATTAAAAAATGTTTCTTTCACAAAGTGGATAAACAGGACTTTTCAGCAGCATATTCAGTGCGACCATTTCTATATATGTGAAGTTATAATTAAACAGATTCCATGGAGAGGCAATTAGATAGCCAAATATTATTGATAGCACTTTAATCTATTGGTCAGTTGAGTTTGTGATGCATTGTGCTGAACGTTCTATAGCAACTTATGGATTCAAATTAATTTAGGAGGAAAGTATGTGATGATTTTAGTTTGAGAAGTCAAACATCTGTCACTAAAAATGACAGGTGTGTGGACAAATATTAAAAATCCAGTCCAATTTTTTCTGGTGCATCATTTCTTATAGTCTTTTATCAGAAAACTTTTAATGGCAGGTTACATTTTAGTGGACATTCACAAATGGTCTGCGATCATCCCTCTAAACATTTGATTTTTAATGGTCATTGTTTTCATTTGTAGGCAGTAAATGTAGATTATTGATTCAGAGTATTTTGTGAGCATGAATAGTCCAATTTTCTTTTCTTGGGTCAAATGAACCAAGTATGTCAAGGGCTAAATTGGCTTTAAAATGAACATGTCATCTCAGGTCTCAGGTTTGCAGGTCTGGCCAAAGAGGATGAGTTTAGCAGGAAGCCCAGGATTTCCAGTAGAGGTATCTGCAGGGTTTGGGAGTTGAGCTGCCATTTCCTGCTCCACGCCGATTCTTTTTCTGCTCCTCTGAGTCTTCGGATTCTCGGTGGGTAATTCCATTTTCAGATATGGAGAGCTTATGCAGCAGCTCTAATATATTCTCTTTGTTTTCTGATTCCTGAGGCAGAAAACATATGCAGAGAATTATTTATACTTTATAAGAAATATCCTATCCTTACTTATAGGCTTTATTGATTTTTCACTTAGAAACCATGAATGAGCCTAAAGTTAACGTAACCCTGCACTCTAGCTGACCACTCAAAGCGCTTTAACACAACAAACTTCTTAGTCTCAGTTCCTACAGTGTTTGGAAGTTGGGCAGGGTTTATTTCTCCTTTACACACATTAACACATCAATGGATACAACAGAAGTAATAGGTGTTCATGGTCTTGAACCACCGCTGTATTTGTATTCCTAAAAAGTATGCTATAGGTTTTTTGCATTTGCATCTCCTGTCCATGTGTGGGGGGGACAATTGCAAAGTTGTACAAAAACCTATAATTTTGAATTTAATAAATACTCAGCTTTTGCAAAAATCAGACCAGTAAATTTCAGATTATGCCATGTCATTTTACAAAGCATTTTCATATTGTGGTCTGGGTTTTTACTTTTTCGTGCCATTGAAAATACACATGGGATCACACAGGAAACTATGAAAAGGAAGTAAAAGACCTTACCCGACCGTTTTGCAATCTTTTCACATAAGGCAAGGATTCTGGTTGAAGTTGCAGGTTTCCATAAAGGTCTTCAATTTCTGTATTTTCCACAGAACACAGTACAAAACACAGAAGTCCAAAAATGCACAAGATACGGGCCATCCTTACAAAAATACTTGTGTCTGTTTTCTTCTTGATGAAAGTATTCTAATTTTCAGTCTAAGTTCAGCAAAGACTACCACCCATATACAACATATGTAGAACGCAGGGAGACATCTGTTTTATAGGACATTCAAACCCTAAAAAGGAGGAGGAGTCTGCAAGTAATATGCACAAAGAGCATCCTCAACATTGTGTTTGTTCCCATCAGTGCACTGAAGCACGTATTATCTAATTTACAGCAGTCATTAAAAGTGAGATAAGAGGTCCAAATAAGAACATTTTGGCCTTTCCGGTCTGGGTGAATGTCATGATGTACATCACTGCAATTCCTTCGACTACATCATTCGTCACTTTCTCCTTTTTTAAGGTTGGGTGGTTAGAGAGGTTGGTGGCATCATTTAGCAAATCCCCATCAATTTAATTCTCTCTCATGTGTACTCATGTAAAATAAACTTTAACGACACTTACATGGGGGAAACAATGACTTTATCGACCCTGTTGTACCATAAAACTGAATCATCAACATTCCAGAGACATTTGGAAAACCATGGAACACAAAGGTTAACTTCTCATTAATTACACCCTGATGGATTTATTCTGGTGATGTCTTTAGTTGGATTTCTGCTCAATTTATCTTTACAGTTCTCCTGTGCCTAAAGCAAGATTTTAGTGTCAAAGGCTATACAACAGAACATAAATAATTCGTGTCAGCATCCTTTCTAAGATTATTACCTTTTAATCTAATTTGAGGACTTCTCTCTCCATTAAATACTTGCAGGCAATGGTTATTCCAAATGTTCAGATAATCAAATCTGTTTTATTTTCTCTCTAACAAAGTTTTCGATATTTCGATATACTCTTTGTTGTTAGAATCTCGCCAGCAATAATGTTTACAGATTTCCCAGCACAGCATGTGAGGCCTATGGAGAAAAGTGAAAGGATGAGTCCTTCACATGGGACACAACCTTGAGGCGCAGCATCTTTTCAACAAATTGTGATTCTAACCCAGTTATAGATGTGTGGAACTCTGAAACATGATGATGCCTAAACCATTAGTGAGAGCACTGTCAGGAGTAGAATAATCCTGTTATGAAGGGTACAGCTCTGCAAAGAATGAGTGTTTCTATCCATTTTGACAACTGTCTTCACCAGGTTAGGTTTATTTCCAATCTTGGAGTTGTTTCTTCAGGTTTTGGATGTTTTTTTTCCTTCATGTGTGTATATATATATATCGATTTTATATTCCTCCTGTGTTGACCCAGTTACTTACATAACCGTATGATGCTGCTTGTTATTTCTGACTATGCACAATCAATGCCTTAGAAAATCTGTGTGCCAAAAAGAAACTCTGCTCTATTTTCACTTTGGTGTGTTAGGCCATTATCACACCAATTCACATATGTCAGTCACGGTGACAGATAATGGGTGACTGAGCATGACCAACTGTTCCTTAGGGGCTGATTACTTTAGTGATGAGGTTCTGAGTGTGCAGTGTACTAAAAACAACATGGAAATCACAAAAGCAAGGGAGGTAAGATATGAAAATTTAATGCCACATTTATCCAATGTTTTACCATCAACAAGACATTTAGAGAGGGGATGGAAAGAGCTTCAGGCAGTGTGAGTCATAATGTCAAATCTTTTGCATGCTCCATTTAACAGCTTTAAATTCAAAGTGTCAATATTTTTGGTTTTAAAACACAGCAACAGAATAATTCCACAGCAAGCACGTCACATTTACAACACCCATTTGTTTTAGGAAAATGATTGTCATTAATGGACCTCCAATTGTGACATCAATCACCGCTTCAATGATCCTGACACATTTTCCCCACTCACAGGACAAGAATACATCAAGGGAAGAAAACACAGTAAGAGAGTACAAAAGGAACAGCAAAATGACATTGTCATAGGAACAGAAATACTTCAATAATTTGTAGCATACAATAACTGCAAGATATAAATACGGAATACAGAATGATATTCATTATCAAACTTTTAAAAATGATAATAAACACAGCAGTGTAAAACGATAAACGCATCCAACATACATGCAGCTATTACTGCTGTGTCTCATATCTCACATTTTTTGACGATCAGAAATTGTCCCCAAGATTGTGTGCTGTGCCAAATTGATGCAGTTTTCTGCAGACTCGACAACGGCTGATGATACGTTGTAGAAAAGGACTTTTCACAGTCTGAGGAATTGGTTTGCTGCAGGAGAGAGGACAAACACACACCCAATTTTAGAAATGCGACAATCATTAAAAAGAGATCAAGCCTTCTTAGTTTTTTATGTCTGGATGAAATGTCTTTCTCCCTGCTAGGAAGGGCAATGTGCTCCAGAAGACATGTGAGAGAACCAATAGCCGAAGATATACTTGTAATTCAACAAATTAATCTGTGGAGCAGACATCCACTACTGAGAGAGAAGTGAAGAGTTTACCTGAACATGTTTTCATGGTCAAGAGAGGCAAGCCAGTAGCTGTAAGAGTCAGGGTAGTAGTTACATGTCCCCCTGCCATGACATTCAATAAAGGGTACTTGGCGGAAATTTTCCAGACAAGAGCCAGGAGAAATCAAGGGTTGAGAGGATCCTTCTGACCCAGCACCATTTTGCTATATTTGTTGAAGAGTAAAAGGAGTTAATGGGAAAAAGAACATAATGGTATTTTCATATTTAGAAGGTACAATACTTGATTCCTTACCATGACAAATGAATACCCTGTCCACATTGATTCCCAGCCAATGGGACATTCCGGTTTCAGAGTTGTCTGGCTGTGTATGGCTATGACATTCGAAGTGGTTTCACACACTGAACACCTAAAAAATGTACACACACAGACCTCCAAATGAATTAAAACGTTGTTCACAGAAAAATATGAAATATTCTGCTCATAAAAGCATGTTCGAAGTTTAATTGGAAGTACTCTGTAATAAATGTGTGCGTGTACAGTATATACTTCCGTCTCACCTGCTAATGTAAGAAGCCAGCTTGTCAGCTGCGATTGCTACCATGTTGGCAGGCATTGGTTCGTCAGTTGACAGCCAGTATGAGTAGTCATTACGAGAAGCATAGCGGCAAGTGCTCTCCGTGTCACAGAACAGGAAGGGCATGGTGGTGAAACGAGGGAGACAGCTCCCCATGGTGCCTGTATAAAATATTAAAGATAAGGTAGGTGTATGTGATGTATACATACCCAAGTATCCAAATATCTGATGCATAGGTTTGCTAAATATGTGCAATTTATATACTGTTCAAACATTTTTTCTGGGTGAAATCTTCTTACCAAGGTCCTGACCATGAGCTTTCTCATTTCCATTGATGAAGAGAAAAGAGTAACCAGAGTAGATGAGATTGGTGCCTGTAGGGCAGTCAGGGACAGAGATACTCTGACTGTGCCTGGCTATCAGGAAACTGTCAATATGTTGTGGACTAGTTTTTCCAGGCAACCCCGTAAGACCTTTCCGGCCTGAATTTCCAGATCTGCCATTTGGACCTGGACAGTACAACATAGTATCAGGTGATAGTATCATGTTTGAAACCTTTAAAAGTAAAGGTGAGCAATGTCCTTTTTCTTTTTCACATTTCTAACTCTCACTGATGGACTGATACATCCAATGGGGATTTCTAAATTATTGTATCACTGCACCAACCAGTTTTATCACAGCGAACATGATTAATTCTACCAATCACGTGATTATGCATTCTATTTACATAACCATACACATCAACCTTTCACATAAACACACCTGGCAGGCCTGCTTTTCCTTTGTTCCCTTTATGGCCAGTGAATCCAGGTGGACCGTTCGATCCACTGATTCCACGAGTTCCCTTGACACCTGGTTTGCCTGATATAGAGATATTCAACATCACAACACAATTATGGGCATTCCCAACAAAGAACCACTTCTATATGTTTGTCAGGGGCAAGGTTTTTCCTAACATCCTTTACATCGCTAGGAAGGATTTTACTTAACCTGGAGAGCCTGGTGGTCCTGATGTTCCATTGCTACCTGGGGGTCCTTGATTGCCAGAAGGACCAGGTGCACCAGGAGGACTGGGATCACATTTGAATTTTGCATGTTCACCTTTGAGGCCTATAGATACACAAGTTGAAAAGATTTAGAAAGTTATGTCACAAAATATATCTTCTCAATGCTTGATGTCTACAGATCCAAAATGTCTCAATTTTATAATAACAAAACAGTTGTGCACTGATTCCAGAGGGGTGAAATACATTGTTTTTGTTTTTACTCAGAAAGGTTCCTGTCATACCTGGATGACCAGGAGATCCTTTTTCTCCAGGTGGCCCACATGGCCCTGGGATGTATCCAGGGTCTCCTATGTCACCTAAAATAAAGAGCTTATCAATAATTACAGAAGAATATTAATAGAATGCTCATATATCTATCTTTTCTTTTCCTCCTTTCTTTGGTTTTTCTGTATCTCATATTTTTCATGGGAACATAAATCTGTCTTAGTCTATCTTTCCTAATGATAGATCACACTTTGTCTTCAGTTGGAATGTCTTTTTAGCATAATAAGACATACATCTGAAATGATAAATTACCTGGGGGGCCTATTTTTCCTGGGGTACCACTATCTCCTTTTGGTCCTGAGCATCCAGGTCTGCATTTTGTACTCTGGAGAGGAAAATGAAACAATGAAGGGTCAAAGATTAGACTGTAAACACTGCAGTGAGATTTTTAGGATTTAATACTTTTTACTGCAGTGACCAAACAAGGTTAAGTTTGATGAACAGACAATACTAAAAGCATGTTTTCTTCTTTTTCTTTTGTGCTGTCAGCACACATTGAATCAATTTTTCGAGAACATTCCTTAGTAAACAAATTAGAGCTATTTTGTTGTGTCAATTAATTAATATGAAATTATTTATCTACATTTTTTTAGGCTCATCCCTCAAGATATATCAGATTCCTTTATCACATACTGGTGGTCCTTGAGGGCCTGGATCTCCATGGGCTCCTGGAGGTCCCAAAACACCAGGATCCCCTTTCTCTCCTCTGAACCCTGGCATTAACGGGCTTGGAGGACCAAGTGGGCCAAGTGGGCCAGGATTGCCTTTATTAAAATAAGAAAAGATTAAGAATTGAAATAAAGAAAGAATGTGACAAGGAAGAACAACTGGACTAATACATTTTAACACCCACTGCCCAAGGTCAAGAACAAAGGCTGGATTATGGAGACAGCCGTATTGCTAATGCAAAGTTGGAAAGCAAAAGTGCTGGTGGCTTGTGTCTGTAGAGGATTCTTCATATATGTCAGCATCTGGTTATAAATAATTCGTTATTTAAGAGGTTTTAGAAGCTTTATGCTTGATGAGCTGTTTTGAGCTGTTCATGTACTTTCATGAGTGTGTTTAATATTCTTGCAATGCGGTTATAATACCTCTACTTCCAGGATTGCCAGGTAATCCACTATCTCCTTTAGGCCCGTGTAAACATGTCCCTTCTCTTCCAGGGAGTCCGTTAAGGCCAGAGATACCAGGTGGACCTGGAGGCCCTTGGTCTCCTATTGGTCCTGGAATCCCTGTGACATCTTCACCAGGACGACCAGAATTTCCAGTAGAACCTATAATGAAAAGAGAAAACCAGTTGATACAAATCAGTAGAAAACCAGAGGACAGTGTAAAGACCCTGAAGTGCAATGCAACACATGCCTAATATTATACCACAAATACAGAGTGTTTTAAGGATTTAGCTACTGTTACAGTCCCCATCTTTGTGAAGTTTACAGCACCCACACTATATGGTCCTCCTAAAGCTGCAAGGGAAGCTTTTGATCATGAACAAAATGTTTAGAAAGAAAGGAAAACCCAGCTGGAACCAATAAGATTAAAATGTAGCTGAATACTGTTCATAAAAAATAAAAAAACTCAAGTTTCTCACCTGGCTGACCTGGATCACCAGGTTTCCCTGGTTTCAGTCCTATTATGACTACAGAGGAGGGATACAATAGATTAGCTGAGTTTTGATTAACCTAACTACAAACACAGGTTAATAAAGCATAGACCTTTTCAATAGGATTTGTCTTACCAGTATCTCCTTTCTGACCTGGTTGTCCAGGGATCCCATCCTGGCCTTGATTTCCTTTAAGACCAGGTTCACCACTCTTACCTGGTGAGCCTGGGCTGCCTGAAGCCGACAGATGGAATAGATTATAAATACATCTGTCACTGATTTATTTATTTAAAAAAGTAGTTCCCCTTTTTATAATAAAATGAAAGGGCTTTGCCTGGCAGTCCATTTGGTCCTTGGTGACCTTTGAATCCTGGAGAACCATCTGAGCCTTTGGGGCCTTGATAACCCTGGGAGCCTTGAACATTAAATAATGAATAGAAGTTTGGTAACATCATGAAGAGAAACAAATAAAGAAAGAGAAGCAAATAATAAATCAATACTGTTATTATACACCATTTTTTCCAGTAGGCCCTGGGTTTCCTTTGGCTCCGTGATATCCTGGTGGACCTATTGGCCCTTCAATGCCAGGTTCTCCTTTTTGACCCTTTAATAGGGGAGTGTTGCTTAACCCTTGTTCACCCTGAGGACACAATACTAAATGAATTAGAACAACAAAGAAAATTGGCATTTTCATTAACAAACATCTGGTAGTGCTAAGTTTATTCCCATTTAAATATTTGACCAAATATTACTTAAAAACATAGCTAAATTTAGTCATCAGCACCTTTTGACCTATTGGCCCTGGTGGTCCATATCCAAAGCTTGGCTCGCCAGGAATTCCTCTGAAACCAGTTTCACCTGGGACACCATTAGCTCCAAAACCCCCAGGGATTCCTTGGTCTCCTTTTATTCCTTTGGACCCTGCAAGTGGTCAGTAATAACAACTTCCGCATATTCTGGAAAACATTGTGCTCATTACATTTCTGCTTGTTAAGATACTGAAAGATAAAAACTAATGCAAAAAAGAAGATGTTATACTGCATTGCTTTTTGTAAAGAATTGTCTTAACTGTTCTTTCTATGCCAATTTTGGCATAGAAACAGCGCATTAGCAATATAGACAATGGACGGATGGATGAATCTCCAATGTGTCCTTGTTATTTACTGCAGGATTCTCTTACATAATGGTTGTAATTGGAATTCTGAAAAGTAATGGTCAAATAACAGAAAGTAATACAACAATGACCAGTTTTTATATTCAGGAGAGTTTTAATGTTTGACATTCAGTAAAAATGCAGGGCATTTTCCTTCTGAGGGTCCAAAGCCCTGAGCTAGAGATCATATCTTACCTGTAGGACCTCTATGACCTGAGTCTCCTCGTGCTCCAGGAGGTCCTTGGGTAAAACAGTTGACTGGTCCATCATTACCTGGATCACCAGGAGAACCTAAACCAATTCCAGGTGGAGATTATCACGAAATAACTTTAAATTACAAATATTTACAAAGTAACAATCACTGATGCAGACCTATCTTTCCTGGAACTCCTGGTGGTCCCTCTCTTCCTCTCTGCCCCTGAGGACCAATGCTTCCAGGATCACCCTTTGGACCTTGCATCCCAGGTTGGCCTGACCAAATGCAGTAGGAGAAGTAAAAAAAAAAATGGAAATAAGACATTTAAAAGTCTTGGTCCGTTTGCTGTTATCTTCATTTTAAAGTAAGCAGCTGTAGACAGTTTTGCAAGACTTTCTCTTCAATTGTACCTGGTTCTCCTGAATCTCCTGGTGGGCCAGTAGAGGGTTTTGGTCTTGGCCCTGGAGGACCTCTGGTGCCAGGGTCCCCATTCATACCTGGTAAGCCTCGGGTTCCTTTATCTCCTAATGGGCCAGGATCACCTGTAAATCACCATTAGGATTTTGATTACACACCAGCAGAAAAATCATGGAAGTATCTTTAAGAATCTTTAAAGACTTGAACACACACACACAATTAACAAAGTGTTTGCACATATACTTGTCTAATTGACCTGGTGATCCTTTAACTCCAGGTAATCCCATTGGTCCCATGCCAAATATTTGATCAGGCCCAGGGTCTCCTCTTGAACCTAGAAAAGTTCAAGTGTAAGTTTCAAAGTCAAGCTTTAACATATGTTCAAGAGGCTTTTCTGAACACGCTGACTTATAGATTCCTCATTATATTCGCTATATTGGAACTCCCTTTCAATAATTATCACTTCAACTCTTACATTTTATTAATGAAGCACCAGAACAGAATTTGCTGGACATATGTTGGGTCCTGAAGACATGAATTTTCAGGAAAAACCTGAAAATAAGCAATGTTTTTCCTTTCTCAAGGTTTTTTTAATGGTTTATCTTTCCATGTGACTGCTTTTTCAAACATTTTAAGTACAGATTTGTAAAACAAAGTCTACTTAAAACCTTTAAAAATAGAAAATAATGTCATACCTGGCAGACCAGGCATGCCATTTTTTCCTTTAATTCCTTTCTGTCCACTTGGCCCACAAAAACCTGGCACTGATAATCCAGGAAGACCAGGATCACCAACTTGGCCAGGCTGGCCAAGCCCAGGGAAACCCACATTTCCCTTTTTACCAGGCAACCCATTTAGCCCTGGGAGAATGAGGTCATGCAAACATAACAAAATGAAAATATGGAGCAGAGAAAAAAATTAGTTGATGACATTGGATGAATATACCTATCACCTTCAACAGGTTTTTTTTTCATAAGCTGACATGATAGAACATGAAGTTACTTTTAGATACACAGACCTGGAATTCCTGGACCACCATTTGGTCCTGGCGGTCCTTCACATAAACCAGGTGGTCCTTGAGGACCAATAGAACCTTTTCTTCCTACACAAACCATAACATAAACAATGGAACATAGCATACACATACGTTGAAAAGTGTCAGGATTAAGATTAATATGATTTGTTTATGTTCTTCAAGGCTTCATAATGGTTAAATTAAAGCAGTAGTACCCTTTTCTCCTGGAGACCCTGGTTTTCCAGTTGGTCCTGGGTTTCCTAGGAAACCACTGATCCCAGGGTCACCTGCTTGCCCCAGATCACCATCTTTACCAGGAGGCCCTGGGAGGCCCAGAGGGCCACATTTTCCAAGGCCACTTTCACCCTAAAGAAATTAAGAAGAAAGAAAATTTTAGCTTCTATTTTTAGGTATTCTTCAGGTTAGAGTTTTAAGTGATCCATCAATTCCACTGATCATTATTTTCCTGGTTTAATCCATTTCAGTGAGTTTAGGAAAGCACTAATGCAGTATGAGTCTTAACATTCTTGAATCCTTTATCTTTCTGAGTGAGTATTTGAGCCTGAACTATCCATCCATCCATGCATTTTCCGTACTGCTTATTCCCATTGGGATCGCAGGGGGGTTGGAGCCTATCCCAGGAGACAATGGGCAAGAGGGAGGGTACAGATCGCCAGTCCATCACAGGGTATCAAAGAGACAAACAACAATACATTTACACTCCTGGAGGCAATTTGGTCAAATTGACCTAACATGTTTGGATGGGTGGCATGGTGGTGTGGTGGTTAGCACCATTGCCTCACAGCAGGAGGGTTCTGTGTTCAAGTTCCAAGGGGATTGAGGACCTATCTGTGTGGAGTTTGCATGTGGGTTCTTTCTGGGTTCTCCATTTTCCTCCCAACGTCCAAAAACTTGCATGTTAGGTTGATTTGAGATTCCAAATTGCCTTCAGGAATGAATGTGAGTATGCGCTCTTGTGTGGCCCTACGATGGACTGGCGGACCGTCCAGGTTGTACCCCGCCTCTCACCCATTGACTACTGGGTTAGGCTCTAGTCCTTCCTGCGACCCCATAAGGGAATAATCGGTCACAAAAATGGATGGAAGTATGGATGGTGGGACTGAGCCGGAGTTGCTGGAGAGAACCCATGTAGACAAAGGGAGGACATGCAAACTCCACACAGAAAGGTCCCACAGTGATAGTGACTGGGGTATCATTCAGAAGCAGGCACTTGTCAGCATGAGAATCAAACGAAACCAGTATAAACAATATGAACCATAGTTAAAGATTACATGTAAGTTATGCTGCATTTAAGTTTTTCTTGAGTCTGAGAGAAGATTTGCAGAGACATTGCATTATTTAATTTAAATTACATAATATTATATCCAGGTTAGGAGCATTTTGTTAGGGTAGAGATTTTCAGAAGAGTTTAAAACAAGCCTGGATACAGAAATACATTTCATTGGAATGTAAATGTAGCACATCTTTTATGTCTTACGTAAACATCTTGTCCTGAATATGATCAAAACACTCACTAAATTCTTATGGTTGCCAGGCAACCTCACAATGATGAAAAGACTCCTAGAGAATTAGTGTGCTTTGGAAGTTATGGTTGTCAGATTTTGTTATAAACAGTGAGAGACTTAAGTCAATGCTGCTGACTGCAGCTAAATATTTACTTAACAGAAAGAAAAATTAATCCTGGCATTTGTTTCTCTGCAAAAGAAAAAAAACATATTTTCCCTTGATATATTGACTGCTTCATGTTTATGTATATTCTCTCTCCAAGATAAATATTCTATTTTTGTTCCACAAAATGGTAAACAAAGTGCTTTACCGTGCATAACACAGTATTTATACAGTCAACTGTAGATTTAGAACGTTTTTGTTCTGACCTTCTTCCCTGGAGGACCAGGAGGGCCTTGTGGACCTGACTTCCCATGAAGACCCTGACCCGGAGAGCCTCTGGCACCTGGCTTCCCCTTCACACCTAAACACACCAACAGTACAAATGTAAAGAGCCCATCAAAAGAAATATTAGCATGTGTAAATATATTTGTAGTTTGGCCTCAGTGGACTACCTTTCTGTCCAGGTAACCCAGGGCTTCCTGGAGTTGACAGAGGACCCCTTTCTCCCTTTTGTCCTGGAGAACCTGGCAATCCTGGGGTACCTGGTGGATGTTTAATTAAAATTCTAAAAGAACATTACATATTCTCTCATATGGTAATTCAAAGACAACCCATTCATCAATGCTAAACTGGACAACCTGGTGAGCCAGGAACACCTTTAGATCCAGCTGGTCCTGGACGTCCTACAATGTAGCATCCTGGTTCCCCTTTTTGGCCTACCAATGAAGGATGGTGAAATGAATATCTGTCAATCTGTCTACTTGTGTCATGTTCTGGAAATATTCTTCACCTGGAATTCCAGGCTTTCCAGGCAGGCCGGGAACCCCTAAAGTTCCTTTGATCCCCGGAGGTCCAGCAGGTCCATATTTAATTTGCCCAGGATAACCTATTGGTCCTGGTTTCCCTGGAGGCCCTGGCAGTCCATGATCACCCCTTGGACCAGGAAGAGGATACTAAAGAACAGAGAGAATCACCTTCTAAGATAGACTTACTGTTTGCCTATCTCAGAAGTTGAGAGCAAAAGAGACATAAAAAATGGAAAGTTAAATATTTCTCACAAAATCCCCAGGTGGACCTCGACTGCCTTTGAAACCTGGTAATCCAGGATACCCTGACGAGCCATCGGTACCAGGTCTGCCATGCTGTCCTGGCTCTCCTTTTTCCCCCTTTAATCTGGAGGAGTCCGGGTAATATGAGTCTCCCTTCTGTCCTCGAAGCCCCGGCAGGCCTTTTACTCCTGTCAGACCCTTTAAAGATTATGAGTAAATGCTTATTAGAAATAGAAATGTAAACAAAAATAAGAATAAGGAGCAATAGTTTGTAAAATATATCACATACTGGTTTTCCAGGTAAACCTTTTATGCCTGGATCACCTTTTTCTCCTGGTCCTTGATCAGTGCCTGAGTAACAGTAAAGATTCTGTCTATCCTCAGGCTGTAATTTTTTCGGCTCTCTAATATCACTGTAAAGTCAGATGGATGCCATTTTTCTGCTTTCATGTGATGAACAATTGTACCTGGAAATCCAGGGGGGCCACGGGGACCTGGTGGTCCAGGTGGTCCTAATTCAAGACATTCATCGCAAGGATCCCCCTTTTCCCCTGTAAAGGGCATAAGTGTTGTGACAGCAATATTAACAATATTAGTTGCATTTTAATACATATTTGAAATATGCTGCATGTAGATCTACAAATAATTTACCATTACAGGTAGGTGACTTGATTATAAAACTGATTAAATTGTATTTATAATTTTACTATTTACATAAATGTCCAACCTTTCTTTCCAAAAAGTCCAGCATCTCCCCTCGGTCCAAGGAAACCCTTCACACCCTTCAATCCAGGAAGACCTTTTGTTATGTTGTTAGCTAAAAAGCAATACACCAGCAAAGAAAATCAGTTTTGTTTGAATGTGTTCCCTCTGTGATAGGTGGATCTTTTTCAAACGTGTGCAGTGAAAGAGTTCATTATTACAGTATTTTAGCTGTGTCATATTATTACAAGAGGCCCATTTGAACAATAACTCTAAATTGGTCTCACACAAATTCCAACACTTAGTAGCTACGACACAGTTTTCATTACAGTACTGTCAAAGATCTTAGCAGGACTGAAACGGTCTTCACCTCAGGCACATAAATGAAAGCCATTAACTAATGACTTAGAGAAAAATATGTAATGGATGTGTTGATGGCTTTAGCTAGTTGGTCTCACACTTACATTGCCCAACCACAGAGCATATAGTGTACTAGAACAGTTTTACAATGATGTAAAAAAGGTTTGGCTTAGTAGAAGTAGCTGTTCCCGTTTACACTTGATGTGCATTAAAGGAGCATTATAGAGAAAAAAAACATATGAAGAAATAAATCACCGCATAAATCATTTAATTCATCATCACAGAGGACATTCTTAAACAGAGATGATGACTTAAGATGTCTCATTATCATTATAAACATCAGATGATATTTGTTAATACATCAATATCTTTGTCACAGCAGTATCAATTAATCTGCTATGTTCCCTAATTCATGGCATGCAGAAGCACAAAGGAGATACGCTACAGCTGCGGAAGAAACTAGAAAAAGAAAAAAATCAACCCATTTTATCTTCACAAAATCAAGTTTGCATCGTTTTACTCAATTGGTTGTCCCTGACATGATTTTTCAGTAAGTGGATTTGAGAAAATAGTTAAATCCTTGATTCGCTCTGTAGAGGGCTTGGATAAAGTCTCCAAACATTTTGCAAACAACCTCTTGTTTTGGCTTAGAGCATGCCCAGGGCCTTTTGTTCTGCTAGGTCAAGAAGCTGCTTTTAAGCGCTCTGCTCTGCCTTTAAAATCATCATTTGTATAAATCATAAATCTTTATTAATTACCAAATTTGTCATTTGTTGACAGTGGCCAACCAAAAGAACACTGAGTCACATCAGTTAAACGTCATATAAAGAATAGCATGAGCAGCTGTATTAGAGCGCAGAGCACATGGAGCATGGTTATTACAGTTGGAGGGAACAGACAGTGCAAGGTGATACAGTTCACTGGGGACTTTAAAATGCTAATGAGTTACAGAATACACAGAAAGCTGTCTGCTGATTCAGAGGAAATGGGGGGACATACCTAACCCTGGTCTGGGCCTCACAAGATACAGGAAAAGTTAGTGATTTGTGAATACATAACATAGTGATCTGATATATAGCAACTGGCTAAATACAAAACAGTAACTAATGTTTAAGCAATTAGTAGTGAAAAATAAAAAGTTGTGTGCTGCCCACCAACAAGTTGAATCAATTGGAGGCCATAAATAAATTTGTCAGCAGTATTGATTCACTAAATAATTAGTCATTTCCTTCATTATTTGGTCATCTCCATTTTGGTCTCCAATAATAAACAGTTTATCGTAAACTCTCCTTTTGGCAAGTAGCCATTGTTAAATTCTTCACTTGACAAGATTCTACCTAATTATTCCTTATTTGTCTCTGACCAAAATAACAATTATACATTAAATAAGATTTGATAAGAGATACCTGTTTATCATTAATTGATCAAACATGACCTTCTCAGTCATGGTTGTAGGAATATTTTAGAGGCAACTTGTAAAGTACTTTCCAGGGTGTACCCCGCCTCTTGCCCATTGACCACTGGGATCGGCTCCAGTTCTCCCCGCGACCCCATTAGGGAATAGGCAGTAACCATAATGGATGGATGGAGGACTATTTGTAAAGTGTTACCATCTGAAAAGATGATAGAATGTCTTTTCAGCAATCCATTAACCAACCTATCGTCAGGGTTTGAGTGACTCAGATTATTCTGGCTTGTTAATGTTCTACTTGCAAATGTATGTTTGCAAAAAAAGGTGCAGTTTCTGTCTGTGGCATCATTACCGTTGAAGTGCTTACCATTGCTCGCCATTATGCAAGTTTAAGAAATCAGTGTCGGCTGTTCTCTTTCTTTGTGCATCTATGACAGCTGGCCATAGGTGCTGTCACACGCAAGCTTTGTTTTCATTCCCTGTTTTGTACATGGATGTTTTGCAGAGGATTTACAGGCAGAGGCTGATGGACTCTTCCTGGAAGAGTTCCTCAAACGCCTGACAGCTAACAGGATTTAAATGGTCCCAGCTTTTTGTCAAATCAGACACAAGCTTACAATCTATGCTTTGCAGACAGCAGATTGAACCAGGATTCTCTTTTATACAGGGTATAGCCTGTTCTTGCCACAATTTCCTTTGTCTGTATGGATATATTCTGGCTCAGCATCACCATATTTCTCCGTGTTGGCGTCTCACTGAAGGCAGGAGCAGGAAGCCCGGCTTTTGGAACATTTTCAGCAATGTGAATTTGTCAACTGCAGAAAGTGTTCAAGGCAACAGAAGACCAGGATGGAGAACAAAAGATCCAGCTGAACAAGTCCAAGCATTAATAGCACTGAGGGCTTGATGTCAACAAAAAAGGCTAAGGACGATTGGGAAGGATCCTGTCACGTCTGGTGTCTCGTCTCGTCTTGATTACCTATTGTGTACACCTGGGGTTCCCTCCCTCATGTGTTTAAATAGTCCTCGTTTCCCCTTGTCTTGTGCGAGTGCGTTTTCGTCTCTTGTCCTAGTCCGTCTTGTCCGTCGTCTCCCCCACGCCAGGTTTGTTTTTGTCACAGTTTTTGCCACAGTCATAGTCACAGTTTTGCCATAGTTTTGTCATTTGTTACTTTATCACAGTCATAGTTTTGCCTCAGTCTTGTTTGCTTATTGCTTTGTTACTTTGCTCACAGTTTTCCACAGCTTTGATTTGTACTTTGTCTGGACATTCACTCATGAGTTTTTTGTTACAATAAACCTTGTTTTCCCTCACCTCCGCAACTGAGTCCTCCGTCAACACCCACCACCCTGACAGATCCACTGGGATCAAACTGGGATTTCAGTCTCCTGAGGTAAACGTACTATTAAATGCACATATTTTCACGAGTCAACCATATGTCATTTTATAACAGTTATGATGTGCTTCACAGGATTTGGGTGAGCTCATGAAGCAGCCAGAGGAAGAACGCCAATGGAGAAAGTGATGCTGGTATAGGAGCACAAATATATCCAAAACCAGTCAGACATATTTCAGGAGGGACAGCAGGTAAAGGAGTGTTCAATGTAGCAGCACTGACTGAGAGGCAGACCTCTGCAGGGACTTCTGACAGACCAGTTAGAACCGGCTAAGGAAAGAAAAGAGGAGGGGAGAGACAACCGGAGAGATACTTTCACTGAACACTCCACTCATGAAGCAAGAGCAGGCAGAAAAACTGTAAAGGAAAAGGAAGGAATAACCTGCCAGACTCAAATGAAACCGTGTTTTGTTTTGTCAGCACTGTGACTTGTTGCAGACACATTTCCTCTAATTATTCAGCGCAAACCACTCACTGACTCAAGATGATTTTGTAACATCAACCCCTCAAAGACTGCCCTGTGTGTTCTCACAGATTCTACTGTAAACAATAATTTTGCGTCATAATTCCTTGGTAATAATGCAGTTTAAATGAGTTATGTTAATGCAGTTTAACTGAGAATTGTGTGGCAAATTCAGTGTAATAATGACATGGGATATGTCTCCATGTAGACACTATTGATGCAATAGGCTTTGTTTTGTGAGAGACAACCCAGCTGGGAGCAGGGAATAACTCAAGCTTGCCATGCATGTCAGATGTTCCCCACAGAAACCCTTTCATGAATTTAAAGGGCAGTCTCAGTGATAAATGGACAGACTAAAATCATGGGCTATCTGAATATGACAACTAATAGATACAAGTAACTTAGTACACAGTAACACAGTGTTTATACGTAACATTTTCCATAACCTAGAATGGAATAAGAGTATACTCCAGTCCCCCCACAACCCCATTTGGGAATAAGTGGTTCAGGAAATGGATGGATAGATGGAATAAGAGTTTAGTGTGTAAGAGAGTAAAAAGGCATAAGTTTGTGAGAGAGTATGATGGTGTGTGTGAGAGTGATAGTATGTGTAAGTGAGTATGAATTTACATGTAAAGCCCACGTGTGAATCATGGCTGAACTTTCACTGGACAGGCAACGGTACTTTTCATACATTTTTTGGAACAGAGAACAGGCGAAATTCAAAATATATGTAACATTTTTTGGTGATATTATTGAAAGTCGTCTATGCTGGCTAATGTGACACATTAAAAAAAGGAACTTGTTCAAAAGCACAACTGTAAAGACAGAAAAACAAACAGTATTCAGGATCCCATGGGCACAGGCTGCTTAAACATATATGACATCAGAATGAAAATGTCCCAGATTTGATCTAGCTTTACCTGGTGCTTTCTCTTTTGCTATATGATGAAAAAAGTTTGCTATATCATAATATAAGCTCACAATGACACAAATAAGCAAAATAAATGCAAAAAATTAAGATAGATAAATATATCAAATAACTGAAACCTTTCTTAATTTTCACCTACGTCTGTTTTCACGAGGTCCAGGTAAGCCCTGATCCCCAGGAAGCCCTGAATCTCCAGGATCTCCATCTAGACCTGGTGACCCCGTGTAATTCCCCCCTGGCTCCCCAGGATCACCTTTGGGGCCAGTTAAACCAGGGGAACCACGGAGTCCCTGCCTTGCAGATGAGTTTCCTGATAATGCAATATGAATACAATTAGAAAGAAAGAGTTGTTCATTTAAATACAGCTATATTGATTTGTAGGAAAAGATTAATGTGGGGAAAACAGCCTCTTCTCTGCATACCAGGAGGTCCAGCAGGTCCAGGCGAGCCAACACCACCTAAGAAAATAAGAAGTAATATTATACTTTCATATTCCATACTTTTTGAAAAACAAAAAACTTTTTCCTTTTTTGTAATTATTTCTTATCTACCTCGTGGGCCAGGAGCCCCATGATTGCCTGGAAGACCAGGATCTCCAATGCGACCTTTCTCACCTATAAATGTCTGTAGACAAGAGCACATCATAGAACATTTGAAAAAGTCCCATTTTAATTCTAAGTCCTCTGTGGATGTTGTTCCTGGTGTTATGACAAATATATATACATTCATGTGAATATAGATATATACGTTCAGTATTTTAGGGGATTAAATAAAAATAAAAAATCTAATTTGTAAAGGAGAAAAAGATTACCTTACCGGAATTAATTGCTTTGAACAAAAACAACTAAACTTCATGATTCAACATATCAAAACCGGTTTGTAAAGACCAGTAAACCAGTTTGAATAACTGAATCTTTCATTTGTCTTGCTGAAGTGACACTGCAGATTTGTATACACTAATGATAGGAAAGGATATTTAAAAAAACTTACATCTCCAGGTGGACCCCTATTTCCCTTTTCACCCTAAATATTGGAGAATAAAGAAAGAAATGAAAGGATCAGATTTTGTAATCTTTAAATACAAGATCTGAAATAATTAATGCAGACAGAGAAATGAATACATGCACAGAATGAAAGATTGATTAATTGATTTATTGTGAACTGACCATCCCTCCTGGTGACCCTGCATATCCTTTATCCCCTTTAGGACCAGACCTTCCCTAAACAGGATTATATTGTATTTATTTAAAAGCACGGGTGAGCACACATCCATAAATACACACAGAGACACATACACGCAGATAAATACTTAACATTGCAATTATTTTGCACACTTTAATCTCATGTTACTAGTAGATCACCCTTAATCCAGGTTGTCCTGGATCACCATCCTTTCCCGGCTTTCCCTGTAAAGTCAAAGAAGACAAGAAGGAGTTACTGATTTTTGCTTTTCTTTTTTGCAATGACTTTTGTGCACTTCTGTTCTGTTTTTCTATTACCAAGTGATATTTAGTTGGTCTACATCGTGATGAACATTTACACATTTGTTGAGCACAGCCTCAATTCAGGCATAACAAAAACATTACTGATATCCTTAAAAGTTAAGATGAATAGGGGTCTTTTCATCTCAGGTGTCTTTGATTAGTTAATTTCCAAATCATTTTAAAATGTTCACAGATCTAAATTGACTATGAGTAATAAAGCCCTCTCGTGAGCATCACAATGCTGCCTGTATCTGTGTGACTGTGTGGATTCAGCATCTGTAACTTTATTCAAACAGCTGTTGTCAAAGTTTTTAGATGGGTTTAAAAAAGTGAGCTTCTTGGGAAATGGCTATTATACTGTGTCATTTCATTCTGTCTAGGAATATTTATCTGTGCCCTGTGATGAACTAGTGACATCCACCTCTAACCCAAGAGTCAACTGGAATATGTATTAGAATCCATGAACTCGACATGGATTATATGAGTGTAGAAAATGGATGGATGCATGTTTTTAAGTCGCTATAGCCCCAGAGCCAAAGTTTGATCCCAATGCTGTGATGCTGCCCTCTGCTGATCATTTTTTATCCTGAGAAACTGTGGTAATGTAAATGTAAATGAAGCAGTTAAAGAGTGGGTTTCTTGGGCGATATATGATGAGACAGACAAATACCAGAACATTTTCTGTGCACCATCAATGGAAAAGGGCTGATATTATGTCTTACTTCAGGGCCCTGCTTCCCTACGTCTCCCTTTCTTCCTTTTGTTTCAGAACCATAACCAGGATCACCCTAGTAAAAGATTGACACAAAGACAAGAAACAAACAAGAATCATACGTTCCTTTGAAAAATTGAAAATGTTTCTCCAAGTGAAGTTTCCAGCTCAAAGAGAGTTATTTGAATAGATGTCGAAGGGGAACTTACTGGTTTACCCTTGCAGCCTTTTTCTCCCTCATTTCCCTTGTCCCCCTTCAGAGCCTGAAACAAAGCCTCTGGTTACTGATTAAACACAACAGAGAAAATGCTTTCTATCCATCTTTAGAAACATCGCATATCGTCAAAGGATAACTCAACCAACATTTCTAGGTTTGCCTTATAAATGTCATTATCTTCTGTAGTTGTATTTTTATTTGATGTATTTACAATGTTTACACTACTGTCTGTACTTGTTACTTGTTACTTTTCAGCACTCTTTTGAGAGCACCTAATAAAATGTCATATAGGTTTTGTTCCAAAAACATGTCCAGAATGTCAATTTTCAGGGTGTCAAATTAAATTCTCTACTGTCAAACTTAAACCAGTTCCAACTCTGAAATGACTGATTGTTAAATGGAACACATCTTGATTTTTTTAAATCTGCAAATTACTCGAATAGACCAATTTGGACAACATGTCAAATAACCTGTTAAATAATCTTAAAATCCGATTCGGTTTCCATGGTCAAAGGCCCAAAAATATTTTATCGAAAGAAGATAATTTAATTGAAATGTTCTTTCAGCAGCAGTCAGTGAAAATCAATATAACCATATATGCGAATACGTCTATAATACAAGCACTTGATTGTTGTTAAAAATATGTCACTCTTCTTTGCAGACGTCACAAGAGGTAATTTTTTTTTTTTGGTTACCTTTGGCTTAATAAACAGTACATCTCCCTCTGTTGACTCCATTTTAAACGTCAACAAGATGGATTCTGTGAGAAAAAACCTGCTGTTCCGTCAGCCACCACAAACGCTGGAACATATCCAGCTGGTGAGGCGACTTACCGCTGACGTAAAGTTTGATCCCAATGCGCAAACTTGCAAATGTTTTGAGAGCCGCTTTTCCGCTTTTTGAGAGCTGTAGTCAGACAGATACGTGCTGCGGGTACCCCATCGTAGCTCGCCGTGATCGTATAGTGGTTAGTACTCTGCGTTGTGGCCGCAGCAACCCCGGTTCGAATCCGGGTCACGGCATTGCGAAACAATGTCACGGCAGATGGGTATTCCTTTTTTTATTTATTTTTTACCAAACTTTATGAATAAAGTAATATATCTATGTATCACAGCTGCATCATTTTTATAACTCGTACCACTAAGAAACACGCTTCTGAAAAAGGTTCAGAGAGGTGTAAAATGATATAACTACAAAACAAAGTTACCTTAAACAGCGAACTTTCTGAAGAAAACTCCTTTGTTCTGCCCGGTGGTCCTGGTGGTCCTGGTGGGCCTTGTGTCCCCTGTGAGAAATGCATCAAAGCAACTTGGTAAAGCCAGTAAGAAAATCAAAACATGATTAAAAAATCACTGTAAAAAAAATATTGGTTTGATGTAATGTTATCAGTTCAGTGAGTACTTTCTTTAATAAAGTTCAAGAACTATAATATAGTGCAAAAAAAAAAATCACCTTAGGTCCTTTAGGTCCAAGTATACCTCGTCGGCCTTCTTGGCCCTGCACGATAAATGCAGAATTTTTATAAGTGGATCTCAAAATATTTAATCACTTCTTACATTTAAAATTTGAGTGTATGGCACCCAGGGATAACTTTAAAACGCAACCCCTTCCATCATCTCAACTTTGTTTCCCAAACGGACAATAAGTTTCTCAAGCATTGGTACTGTCATCGCCCACTTGCTTGCTTTGGTAATTCAGCAAGAGGAAATCATCAGAAGGAGCATAGAGAAATGCAAGTGCTTAGTCTATTTCTTGTGGATTGAACACTGATACTGAGGTAGTCCGACCAAACAAAGACCCTGCAGCTGCTAGTACTAAACACTCCCACTCATTATCAGAGACAAAAGTACCACTCCCTAAAATTACCTTGGATCCTGGTGCCCCAGGACGACCTTGTAACCCCTGAAATACAAATAATAATGTCAAGCATAACATGATTTAAAAAGAAAAAAGAAAAGACAGCCTTTACTCACGACAGATCCCCTTGGTCCTTGGCCCCCTCGAGCTCCAGGTTGTCCAGTGGAACCTGGATATCCCTTAATTTGAAAGAAAATGAATGAGTTTTGGGTAAATTCTTGCTATTAAAAAAAAATTGGATAGTGGAAATGTAATTTAAAAAAGTTACTTGGTATCCATCTCTACCCCGTTCTCCCGGTGGTCCTTTATATGATCGAAAAATTGGTATGGGAGAGTCATCCTGAAAAAAAGATTTAGGTCGCTTTTTTCAAAATCGTGCACTTATTTGGGGCATTTACATGTGTTAAAAAAAATGTTTCACATTTAATCTATCTGAATACAACCCCAGTCAGACCACCGAGTGCTACATTCCCAGAAAAGCCACAGAAAAAAGATGCTAAAAACCCATTTAAAGTTTATAGCACACTTCTGGGACCTATCGGTAGAATTTCCCATTAGAACATTGACATCTTATAGCATTTGCCTGCCAGTTGACTGCTGTCTCAGAGAAATGTGGAATATCTTGAGCTGAATGTGTAGGTGTCAAAGTGGACAAAGATCTGCTGGAAAATAAATGATAAATAATAAGGGAAACTTTTTTTTGTGTGCTTGGCAATTGCACATCTTTGCTTTTTATGATTTTTGTGATTTTCCACAGAGGGACTTTTGAAAGTAAAACAGGCTGTCATTTAGAATAAGAGTCACAACTAACTCCACTTTTTGATGGTCAAAGTTCATAACAGCATTAGAAGCTGTCAGCAGTTTTGGGACAATTAGCTTTGAGGATTAACACAATTTATGAGAATAAAAGAAAAACACCAAATAATTAACAGCCCGTTGGTCTCACATGGAAAAGGTACGAAATGAGCTCAGGGAGCCTGAGGAAACAGGGTAAATGTTTGTGCAGCATCAGTCTTTTTTTTATTGTGCATCAGGATCTTGCCACCATATGTCTTAAAAGATAATCTTTCCTTAATGATTCTGCACTTTCAGAATACAAAAGTAGTTAGAAAAAATTTGAAGGCAGCATATTGTACATTTTATTACCTTCGGTCCGGGCTGACCAGGCAACCCCTAAAATGAAAAACAACGTTAGAAAATGCATGTATATTGATTTTTGTCAAGATTAATTTAAAGCGCAAAATTTTGTATTTGAGTTTCTTACTGGCTCTCCATCCCTGCCACGGACACCAGGGATACCAGGAGGTCCAACATCTCCCTGCACATTAGTGTTTGAATTTTCACAATATAATTCAAGCATTAATACAGAAGATGTTGGATGAAAAGGTTCTGCAATAACAACCATGGGTGTCACTGTCATGCAATATTGCCTTACGTCTGTTCCATTACAACCTGGACTCCCGGGCAGGCCTGGAGGGCCCATTAAGCCTGGAATACCCTATCAGACAATATGAGCTAAAGTCACAGGGAAATAAACACCTTCTGAAGTATTAAATAAACCCATGATACAAATTTTGATATTTAGAAGGGAAGGAAGAAACAGGAGATAACTTGCAGGTAAGCCATGAGACCCAGCAAATCCTTCTCTGCCCTCTGGTCCCTGTAAAAACACAGGGAGTGGAAGTAATAAGAATGAAACTCAAGATGGTACACTAATGAGTAGAAATCACACAGATATATGCTTACCGGATCTCCTTTTGATCCCATCGGCCCATCAGGCCCAGTGTTGCCCTGTCAAAGAATGCATCCCATAATTAATCTTAGCAATCCTTTGAGATGTATAGCTGAAAGTACCTAGAACAGAGGTGATGTGTAATTCATCACAGCAATTGCAGGATTTGAGACGGGGAGACTTAAGAGTAAACTTAGGAGTTGGCAAAGCTGGGCAGAAACTACCTTTGGTCCTATCGGACCAGTACGACCGACAGGTCCTGGATGGCCCGTTGGTCCTGGAGGACCTGCATATCCTCGGAATCCTTTTTCTCCCTGAAAGTCATATAAATGTTCGTATTTGTATTTATTTTCTTACTCATAAAAGAAAAACAAATGAAGAGCAGTAGCATGAAAATGTTGTTGCAGCAGTTTTTTCTTCTGTTGTTCCAGAGACACTGCTGCATACATACACACCGTAGATGGGTTTAGCAGCTGATTGTGGTTAAAATGGTCACTGATATGATCCAAGGTTTTACTCATATTAACCAAATATTCAGTATAAATAGCTCGTTACTCATTTAATGCCTCAGGATGCTATACCATAATTTTTGAACACATGTTCTGTTCATGTATTTGAAAAAGTTCACATCAAAATGATTAACTTTCAGAACACTGTTTGGACAAAGGCTATTGTTCTCTTCTCTGTTAAGATGTCCCCACATTGTTTCAATAATGCTGAGGTCAGCTCTGGGGGCGATTCATCATTCCAGAGCATATAGTGATTCTTCTTTTAGGTCTTAGGTAATATGGTGTACTTCAGTGTTTTTTCCCTGTTTTTGAAATATTTAAAAAGCCACTTCTCCTTGAATACTGTCTCTGATGAGACTTTGACAAACAATTTGGATTTGTTTTCGGTGCTCGGTATAGCCACAGAGTTAAAGACTAGCTCTTTTGAAAGAAAAACTAATAAAAGATGACTCAAGCACTTTATTCACTATGATACAGTTGCAGGAACTATTGGAAAGATTCTAAAGATATTTTTTGGGTTGTTGCAAAAACAACCAAAAAATGTGTTAACCCAAGAGCAAACATTAAATGTCACACACAATGACACAAAATATTAACAAAAGAAGTGTTTTGCTTAAAGTTTTGTGAGAGAAGTTAACTTAAAACTTTTTTTTTTTTCAAAATTAATACTAGTACTTGAAATCTATCAATTTTGTATACCTACTAAATCTATTTAAGGGTTAATGGATGGCTGGAGCTTTTCTTTGTACCTATTGGGTGAGAGGAGTAAAACCTGGACTGCTCATCACAAGACCAGACACACAACCATGCACACACCCACTTCACAAAGATTACTTTAGAATCAACATTTAATGTGACATGTTTTCTTTATTGTTCAATTTGAATTCTTCTTCTTATTTCTTTAAACGATTTGTATTCTTAAAAAGAGGCATTAAAACAAACACACTGGGCACCCCATGAGCTCACACAAATAAAACTCACCCGGTTTCCTTTTACTCCACTACAGTGGCACCTTGATTTTCCATTGCATACACACTGAAAATAAAAAGGTAACATACATGAGAGGAAAAGTTAGAACTGAATGATGAAGCACATTTCAGATGTTGTGAAATGCTTTAATCTGTTCTTCATCAGCAACAAGGGTCCATTAAAAGATTTCCGTATTTCTACAGGACATAATATGATTCTTCACTTAACATCTTGAACCTCTGTACAGAGGAGCCTCTGCTTTCTCAGGGTGTGACGCTAGGACTATTGTGCTTTAATTTTATATCAAGGTGGTTTACACAGAGTTATTGATTGCAGGAATATGCAGTGAGCTAAAAAACACAACTCCGGGCCTTAACAGGTCAAAAGAAAACCACAGCAATGCATATCTAAGCAAAGGTTGCAGGATATAACAGAATTATAATGCTGATCCACCAGTGGGTAAACAGTGGATTGCCTGACTGGACTTTTCCTCAAGACATTAAATAAATTTGCTGATATATTATTATTCTGTGTTATTTTAAAAGAGGCTGTGATACATAACAACACAGATTATTATTATTACAACTACTAACTGGCACATAATCAATACAGATCAACAGCTAATACTAAAGTCAAGTGTGTACAGGTAACAATAAAGAAAAATGGCTAACTAACAGATATTTAATGACAAAAATATGCACTCTTTTTGCACAGTGTTAAAATTAAAGCAGACACCACAGATTTTTTTAAGTTTGAAGCTACTCTTTCTGCAATGTTGGCCATAAGAAATTAAAAAAATGCAGCTTACAGTTTTGCCCTCAGTTTCCATCAGCATCAAAGAAAACAAGAATAGAAGATATATGATTACTGGCTTTTCCATGGCTTTTCTTGTCACATTCACAATAATCCAAGGTTCTTAAGAGAGTCCACTTCAGCAGGCTTTCCCATCACAAGCTATTGTCATAGCTTAGGTGTAGTTCGACCATTATCATTTTCTTCTGATTTCAAATGGCCTGTAATTTACAGGATAAGCACAAAAAGCAATTGGACCTTGAAGGTGGGGAGTGGGGGAGGTCTGATGGGACTGCTGCACTTTGCCCCAGACAGATCTCTGCTGCTCCTCTTACTGCCAGAAAAAGCGGGAGTTTGGTTTTCCTGTGACATGGAGGCAGGGGATTAGTTTGAATCTCACCAGGCACTGAGTTGCATGGGATGCACTCCAGCCTTCATGAAGTATCATCCTGGCTTCTGCTTTTGGGTGAGTTGTTAATATTTGCGAGCATGTTGGATCGTTGTCCTTTTTGGATTTGTCATCTATTCTATGGTTATTTTGTACGATTATAAATGTGAAGTGTCAACTGGTTAACAGGTGTGTCTGATGTGTTTTCATTTCTTTGATCCATGGCAGAGGGCAGCACTGAGGCCTACGCTCAACTGTTCAATACTCACTGAAGATGAAATTCACACTCACTGTCTTGAATTTTTACACCCTCTGGTGAGTCCAGTGTCTCATTTCATTTCTGCATCTGTCATTCTATCTTGATAACAAGTGATGTTTTAACCTGACTGACTTCCCCCCCAAAAATATCTACATTTTCAGGATGCTTTGTAATTAAATGTTTCATAAGCAGCACAAACGAGTCATTTGGCTCAGTTGGACTTAAGCTGTATAAGAACTGTATATCTTAAATTCAGCTTCAATTTCATTTCTGTGTTTTGTAAGTCTATAAAGACAAACATATGTCTGTTTAGGCAGACTTGCACCACATCTGCATGTTTGTAAAAACTGTCCTTCATGACTCTGATGCTCACAAGGTCACAGCTGCGCTGGCACATACTGCACAATTGCCCACAACAATTCAGCAGGGCCACAAAGAAAAAACAAAAAACCTTAGTTTGCCAATTTTTGTGTGAATTATTTGAATTTTTTTTCATGTTCCATAAGTCATGCTAGTTCATCAAAATCATAGAGCTCCAAAAGTGTGATGTCTTCTCAGCAAATACTTTTGATAATCTGACATATATTAAGACTTTCAGTGTCTGTGCTAATGAGAACACGGCTGAATGAAAACCGGTTTCTTTCACAGGTGGATTTTTCTTCTGGTCATCCATGCACAACAGCTCAGTGCAGTAAGATATGATTTCTTCAGTCTTTCATTTCAAAATGGTCCCATCAGCATCATTCTTGAGGTGGCACACATTTTGAAACGGACCATATTGCTAATAATGTGCTAAATGAATAGGAAATAACCCAGGACTCAAACAACAGTAGATACATTTTAATAAACCTCTGATATATATTTTCAAACCTCCTATAGATGTTGCACTATGCTAAACCATGCTGTCAGGGATTTTAATGTTATTACTTTTGAGTGATGTGCTGCTTTTCGTTGCTGCTACAGTGGTCAAGAAAGTTGCTTAAATTTGCTTTATGATTATTATGAGTATTACAGGGATTGGCCAAAGGTAATTATTTGTGTTTTTAGGTATTTATCTAAACTTGATATCCCCAATGCAAACATGACATCCTGGCGGAGGCCAAATATGTATCTTCAGTGAACTTAGTCTCTGTTGATTTGCAGTTGGTAGCCATAAACTGCAGTAATAGCCAAGTCGACAGTAGGTGGCAGCGGCGCTCCCCATCATAAATGAATTGTATGAGTATAATATATGTCAGACTTTTAAGATAAATGTCCAGCCAAGGCAACATTTGACTTGTTATGCCACCAATTCTAAAGTGATACATGTCAATGTTTCTGATGCCAACGCCATTTTGTTCTTGCTTTTGAAAAAAGAGGGACTTAAATACTGTGGAATAGTCCACAGCATTTAAGCTTGTTAAAATTTGAATCTATAGCCATATTTAAATGTTATTTTAGATAGATTTGTTTCACTTTGGACAATGTTACCTCAACAAAATGAAGGCCAGTCTTCACTGTTTATGGTCGACATGTTTTTAAAAATCTTTTTCTATCTGATGGAGAGGTTCCCATGAAGGTTTTGGGGTGTTATCAACAGATGTCCTGTAGAATCAGTTAACACTCCCCAAGTATTTGTAAAGTTTTAGGAACATAGTGTTAAAACTCTCACAAAAGACAGACAGTAGTGGGAATATGTGCGCTCACGGAACGGAAAAGTCAAAACATTTAAGAAATTTAGTGTCAAACAGAACGTTCTTATTCAGTCAACTTATCAGAGTGGGTCAGTAAAACAAAACTGTCAGACATTCACAAGAGTCTCTAAACTTAAACCCTAAAGCTTTATCATCCACCTTCTGATGTACACTGTCCATTTTCTCTGTGTTTGTTGTTCAAGGGAAGGACTTATGGTGTGTGTGAAGGCAGAGACTGCTCAGTATGTCAGTGTTTTCCTGCCAAAGGGGCTCAGGTATCAACCTCTAAAAGCATTTCTTGTCATGTTGCTATTTTTCAGTAAACATTATTAAACTGCTCTTCCAGCAGAAATGTGTTAGTATATTAGTATTTGGTTTACTTTATTTTTCAAAATGTAGGCTTAATTATCCAACTCAGTCGCCTTCAGGAATAATCAATTTCAATTGGACTTAATAAAAAGATGAACATCCGCTAACAACTATCCAACTTTTTCTTTTTTCATTTTTTACTATGCAACACAAAAGCTTCAAATGGTCGATGGGGAATGAATGTTAACAGGTTTCTTTTCAGTTTTTTTATCATTTATACAGAATCATTTTTCTTGTAGGGCACTCCAGGAAAGATTGGACTACTAGGTCCCCGTGGACCAATGGGACCACATGGAAATATTGGGCCTCATGGAGAGAAAGGCAGAAGGGGAGCAATTGGATTACATGGATCAGAGGGTCCAAAAGGAGATCATGTTGGTATTCATGTGCTCAAATATTGTCATGAACATAGAGAAAGACCATAAAAACACCAAGGGAGATGCCCATGAGTAATTATGTATCAAAGTCTTTATATATTAAAACACTCACTTTTGCCTTCTTAAATAAAAAACAATATGCATTTTTGTATTTCAGGGTGCAACAGGTGCTTCTGGTTTTGATGGTCATGATGGATCACTGGTACGTTAACAAGCAGATTTATGTGTAAACAGCTCAAATTAAATAGATCTCACTGACACACCACTTTGTTTTCTTGTGCATGTCATGGAACGCATAACTGTCGGTTATCTGCAGGTACTTCCTCCCACAATCCAAAAACTTGCATGTTAGGTTAATTGGACACTCAAAATGACCCCTTAGGAGTCAATGTGAGTGTGTTTGGTTGTTTGTCTCTGTGTGACCCTGCGATGGACTGGCGACTTGTCAAAGACGCACCCCACCTCTCACCCGTTGTCTGCTGGCATAGGCTCCAAATACTGGGGTGATGCTGTAAATGTAGTAAATTTGACGTTCTTGGCTTTAACAAGGAAGGCCACCGCTGTCGCTTTCTATTCTTTTTTGCAACAGCTCTTCACTATAACTGTCCTTCATCTTATAGGGTCACCCTGGTGCAGGTGGTGAGCCTGGTTTGCCCGGATTGGATGGTTGTAATGGAACTAGAGGTCAAACAGGAGATTCTGGCTTGCCTGGTTTGGATGGTCTGCGCGGGCCACCTGTGAGATGAATACCTGTTTGTTATGTTTTGATAGTCAAGGATCAAGGATAGACCTTCAGTTATTAATCTGTTATTAGCAGGCCAAACACACACATACTGCCCTTCATTTTTACTAGCTCGTTCACATAATGTGATTATTGACCAACTGTCCCATTTAATTATATGTCTGTAACAATTAGATAGACAAAAATATGCTCTTTAGGCTTTGATTTACAAAGTGATCTCTAATTGGAGGATGTGCGTCTCTCAGGGATTACCTGGCGCTAAAGGAACAAAAGGACCGCCTGTGTGTTGTACCAGCCTTCCTGGTCCTCCTGTAAGTAATCTGACTCTGTTTATATTGTTATATCTATATAATATAGTCCCTCTTTTTTCATTCTGCTTAATAATGGCATGATTTTATGCATGTCCATTTTTCTGCATCATATGCTTGTGAGTAAAAATCATCATGGTTTCAGGGGGAACGTGGGAGAGATGGAGATCGCGGTCCGTTTGTAAGTTTTCTTTTCTTCATTTCGATTATAAAGGAATATTTTCCACCACATGAATGATCTTTAACATGTGATTTTTTTATTTTGTAACTAAGGGAAGAACAGGAGATATTGGGCGTCAAGGCTGTACAGGACCTCCTGGCCCTACTGGGAATGAGGTACAAAAAACTGTGGTTCCTTCTTCATGTTCACATACTAATGTGCAGAGTTCCCTAAAAATCAAAATATAAATCTGGGATTTCTTTTAGGGCATGGAGGGACCTAAGGGTGTAAGAGGACCGCCTGTGAGTAACATGCATCCCAGTTTCTTGCGAGTGCTCAATGAAATAAAACATTCCTGTTTTCTTGGTGGTTTATATTATCAGTCAACCGGCCATAATGAACTATAAGAGCTTGAGTAATAACAACACAAAAAGATCTTCAAGAATAGGATTCCAGTTGCCTTTACTGAAGCTCTAAGGATTTGATTCCTGTACGCTTCCTATCAGTGGCAAATCAAACCTATAAAAACGTTTTTTTCTACAGGGAGACCCAGGTGGGTCACGAGCCGGTGAGAAAGGTGACGATGTAAGTAACCATTCAAGAAAAAACAACTGCTCAAAAAGGTGTTGTGCAGCACATATGACTCAATCTATGTGCAGAATAATTTCTTCATCCACATGTATAGCTTAAGCGGAAGTGTATTCACCTTTTATATTCTATACTGTAGGGAGAGCAGGGTCCACCAGGACTTGGAGAAACTGAAGAATCCCCCCAAGACTTTCTACCCCCAAAAGGCTACAAGGTGATGGATGAGCTCATCATTTTTTGTTCCTTTGAATTTCATGGTAGTCCAACTAATTCCAATTAATCCAAAGAGATTTTCACGGTTTGGTGCATTCATGTGTAAATCCCTTTGTTAGAAGAAAACTAAAGCAAACAATTATTTCTGTCATTTCCCTGCACCTTTTTTGTTCTTCTCAGGGAGACCGAGGTCCTCCCGGATGTTGTGGGCCAAAGGGTAAACGTGTAAGTTTTATTTTACTGGTGAATTACAAGTAAGTGAGAAGTCGACTGGATATGATTTTACTCTTTTCTCCTTATCAGGGTGGGAGTGGAAACAATTCCAGTCAACCAATGAAAGGGGAACAAGGAATTCTGGGATTTCCAGGAGAGAGAGTAGATATCTCAAATACTACTTAGCACAAACAGAGAATTACAAACAAAACATTGTTCAGCTCGTTTTTGCCATCCTTAGGGTGCTCAAGGACTTCCTGGTAGTCCTGGCCCACCAGGATCAGAGGTACATAACATATGTCACAGAACCTTCCTTCATGCTTCTGCACAAATCTTTTTACTCCAAAGTCATAACTGATTCATTGTCAGGGTATGCATGGAGAAAAAGGACTCCCGGGCCTTATTGGAAGACCTGGGGAAAAGGTAAGCTTTGAAATATTGAATCCTTATGAAACATTTGAAATATCCAAGTTACCTGAAGGCTCAGATATCATCTGCTGAACATAGATCAAGTTTTATATAAAGGGTGAGCATCTACAAAAATAAAGAGAATACCCAAACGGGTCACAAAAAATAGTAAAGTTTTATCTCACTTTACTGCCATCTTGTGGCTGCTCAGTAGAATTGGCATAATAACAGGACAAAAATGGAACAGAGGGAGTATTATATTTTTGGCCGCCAACTCTGTCTTTGCACTTAACAGGGTTATCCAGGAGTTCCAGGTCCCCCTGCAAAAATGCCATTTTACTTAAAAGGTGAGACCACTGAAGTCATTACTCTTGTTTTGGAGGATTTACAGCATTGTTCTGTATTTTATTTTGTATGTATATACTATAAACTGTAATATTTTCTATAGAACCACATATTTACTCCTGGTTTGGTCACTAAGAAACTACTTACTGATCACTGGTCAACTTTGTTTTGGCTAAAAAAAAAAGATTAGAAAAAAAGAAAAAGTATATAAGTGAAATATATTTATTTTAAAATAAAACCGGAAGCATAACTCATTGCTGTCATTTTTTTCTTTTTTAAATTTTTTCCCAAAAAACAAAACAAAACAATTTTTTTAATGGATTTTTCATGACACCAAATTAACAACTAAAATTGTCAGAAAATCAAGTTGAAAATGACTAAACTTGCTGGAAGCAAATAATGAACCATTTCTGGTACTCTGTCTATATATTTTAGGCCCTAAAGGTAACAGAGGATATCCAGGATCACCTGGAATGTCAGGTGACCCTGGTCCTTGCGGCATGCGTGGGCCTCCAGGGCCACCAGGGATAACAGGTCAGGTTCAGAATTTCTCGAAATCAGATTTTTAGAAATGTGATTGTTTGATAGTACATAATAGTATATATTAGAAACTCACAGCTGTTCACATCAGGCAGAGAACTGCAGACGTTAGTTCTAAAATAAAATAAATCTGTCCGTTTACCCAAAATGTTTTACTCACATCATCATAAGTGGTCTGCTTTATCTGAGAGACTTAAGACCCTGATCAAACATAATTTAAATGCTCCCATAATCTTTCTCATCCTTCCAAAAGTACAAGGGCTACCAGGTCTGCCAGGGCCAACTGGTGAAAAAGGCTTCAAGGGAGAGAGAGGAAAATATGATGAACATGAAATCAGTCTGCATTCAGGGCCCAAGGGTGCAAAAGGACTCACAGGAGCTAAAGGTGTCAGAGGCCCTCCAGGTCCTCCAGGTATTTCTGCTGTTACTACAGATATCTATTTTACTTTCTTTTTAAATTGAGTTTTAAAATGAGTTTTTAAAATAGGCTTTTGCATGTTTTGTTGAAAAATGACTTATCTCTTGTATATCTGTGGACGCACGGTATGGCAAAACATGACGGTTATGTAGTCATCTTTATCAATGTTGATCAACATTTCTTTTTAATTGCACAGGCTATTACTGTGAGCCTGGTGACCCTGGGGAACCTGGCGATCATGGACCCAAGGGATCACGTGGAGTCAAAGGGCTCAGAGGAATTAAAGGTGATCTGGTCTGACTGATTCAATTCAGTTCAGTTTCTTTGTGTACCACCACGGCAAAAGTGAGCTCTACAGCCCAGTGTAATCTGGTAGTTATCCAATTAACCCATTTGTAAAGGTTTCAAACTATGTAAATAATTTAATCACATTTAATCTTCTTTACACTTTAATACTCTGTCCAGAGAACTCAATTGTCGGAAGTTAATGAGAATCAGCCGCTTGAATGATGGTCATTTTGCCTCATGAGATAGAAGGGTCACCACGCACTATAATACTAGACCAGGGATGAGCCATAGCTAACCACATGCTTTTGTAGACGGATATCTTTCTTCCTTTTTAAAAAACAATTTTGTACAGTTTTCTAACTGCTCGAGTTTAACACCAACCATAAGAGATGCTGTTGGATTCGACCTCTTATATATAATTTTGAACTACTTCCTTTCAATATTTGTATGCGAGAATGTGGTGCATTCTCTATCAATGTATCATATAACAGTTGTACATTTCCCCCTTCCCTCTCTTGTAAAGGTTGTCCAGGTGAATGTGAAAGTAAGTCTTGTAAGGGGAACTTAGGACCCCCTGGTCCACCTGGTTATCCAGGTCCTCCAGGATTACAGGGACATCAGGGACCTCCAGGAGACCCAGGACCCAGTGGAGATAGAGGTGTAAGAGGCCCACAAGTAAGGAGAACATTACTGAAATGTATTCCCTTTGCTATGCTTAAAAGTATATTCTTAGTATTAACTAAAGAAATATTATTCTGTGTAACTGAGATTCATTGCGTTTCGGTAATCAGGGAGATGAAGGATCAAGGGGACAAAAGGGTCTCAAGGGTGATTCTTTGATGGTTGGTGTTAAAGGTATGTATGTTTTGAACTTCCAGTTGTACTGTATAGTTTTTATAAATGAGAAAGTCATGGATATATGAGAACAAACAACATATAAAAATCTCATAAGAAATTTGATATTTTCAAGGTGTTCAGGGTCTTTTGTTTAGTAACCTTTTAAGGAACTGAATCGGTGCTGTTTGTGTTTTAAATAATACGATATGATCGTTTTTGGATTACATTGGTATCCACATTAACACCATTGCCTCACAGTAAGTGGGATTCCAGGTTCCCTTTCTCTGTGGAATTTGCATATTCTCCCCATGCCTGCATGCGTTTCCTCCCACCGTCCAAAAACATGAATGTTAGGTTAACTGGACACTCGATCTTGTCCATAGGAGTGAATGTGTGGTAGTTTGTCTCTGTGTGGCCCTGTAATGGACCGGTGACCTGTCCAGGGTATAGTTCGCTTTTCGCCCATGGTAAGCAGGGATGGGCTCCAGTCTCCCCTTTACAACCTTGTTGGGAACAACCAGTATAAAAAGTGGATGGATATGTATCTACTGGGTAGGCATCCATTGCTTGATATGTCTTAATTCTTTCTTTGTTTTTCTGGAAGGTGCTAAGGGTGATCAAGGAGAACCTGGATTTCCTGGTCCGCGTGGCAGGGCTGGCATGCCCGGTCAGGATGGTACACGTGGTTGTGTGGGAGACCCTGGACCACCGGTGAGTGTTTATCTCTTAAAAGTTCTCCTGTATTTATTTAAAGCATGTTAAGTAAACTTCCCATTTTAAAACTTATCAGTTTACCATACTTTTTGGTCCACCCTGCTACAGTTTTGCTTTTGAACTTGCATAATTTTCAGGGTACAGGAAATCCAGGTCCTAAAGGTTACCCAGGGCATCCAGGAACCAAAGGCATTCCAGGTCCTTCAGGTACCCCAGGTTCAGGTTATCCAGGACCTGTGGGGACACCTGGACCTCCAGGAACTCAGGGACCTCCAGGCACCCCAGGAATCCCTGGACGACCTGGCCCCCAAGGTCACATTTAATTTGGCTAATACAACTAAACTTATCTTACGTTCAAAGTGTCACAGACGCTCAAAATGATACATTTGTGTCACTAGGTGACCCCGTGAAGTCATGCCCATCAGGTCCTCCAGGTTCACCGGGTCAGTATTGCCTGTCATACATATTGCCTAGATTTGATTAAAAGTATACTACCTATCATTATCCTTTAGGCTTTAATCTACATTATATATGTATATATTTAACGTTAGATTTTGGTCAAAGTAATACACTGGTCTGCTTTTGTAGGGATTCCAGGTGAACCAGGAATAAATGGATTTCCTGGAACCCGAGGGCATCAAGGCCCTAAAGGCATGAAAGGAGATGACGGTGGGTCTGGGGGGACTGGACAGCCAGGTAATCATTCTGACATGCTGACAATTGATATCATCAATCATGGCATGAAATAAAAAATGATTTATGTAATACCCACGCATAGGCCTGCTGTTGTGTCTTATTTGTCAAAGGACCTCCTGGTTTAAATGGCGATCCAGGTGATCCTGGTACCAGAGGATTTAGTCTTGATGGTCATGCAGGCTCTCCTGGGATACCTGGACTCCCAGGTAGGAAAGGTGACCCAGGAGATGCCCTTTCTGCCAGGCCAGGTGGACCTGGCCTACCAGGCCCTCGTGGGGCCATGGGGAAAAGAGGAATCCCTGGTCTTCCAGGATATCCAGGATGGCCGGGTAAAAAATATTTATATGTATGTCAGCACATACAAATCTTATTATTATACCAATGCAAAGCAGACAGAAATCCCTCTGGCTGTTTAACTTATTGCCATTGTTTGACTGTTTATTAATGTGAGTTACAGGAAAACAAGGTCCACCTGGATCACCAGGTCTCAAAGGAGAGCCAGGATTCACCGGCGACACTGGAGCACCTGGTCCCCCAGGTCCACCATGTTATTATTGTGAGATACCACATCCAGGACATCCAGGAAGACCTGGACTGATGGGATCACCAGGTGAGCATAAGTTGGTGCCATTAACAGTAGTCCATTAACAGTTGCAACCTTAGATTTGTTTGTTTTGTTCTTGAATTAAATTGATTTAAAACACCTCTCAGGCTACCCTGGTCAAAAGGGTGATAAGGGTAATATAGGTCCACCTGGCTATGGTGCGAAGGGTCCACAGGGTCTTCCTGGTCCTCCTGGCGATCCAGGTCCGGCTGGACGAAAAGGTACATATGGCCCTCAAGGTGATCCTGGCACTGATGGTCTACCAGGTCAGAAAGGTAAGTCTTTAAATGTTCCTTGAAGAAAATCTCCCAGGAGTTTTGGCTTTCATTCCTAAAAACGAAGATTTCACTATAGAAATAATGCACAAAAGATGTTGTTAGTTAATATAGTAGTATTTGGATTTGAATAGGTTATTTCATATCTGTTGTGCTCTGCTTAAAATGAAAAAAATCCCTTTATCATATAGGTGAAAGAGGGTGTCCTGGTAGGACTAGAAATGTTCCAGGACCTTCCGGACCCCCAGGACTGAAAGGTGAACAGGGAAAGAGAGGTTACCCTGGAGGTGCAGGAGACCAAGGACTGCCTGGTCAGAAGGGTGAGAAAGTGTATATCTCTTATAACTATATTCATCATCACCAGGTGCTTTTAGCATTCATCTTTATTTTTGTGACATATGGGCTCATGAGACAGGAAACCGCATAATCTTTTGTACTTTCATATCAAGAAGAGGAACACACTCACATGAAAATAGAAATAACATCAGCTTTCCACTTTGGCGAGCAGCATTATATAAACTTCTACATGTAAACAGTGTGAAGACCACAGTAGTTGTTAATTGTTTAGACAGCTGACAGAGGAAGTGAAACAATTTGTGATTTTCTTTTGTGGTTATCATGATGAACGTTATTTATTTTCAATAAATCAGATTTTAAGGAATTTTTTTCTTAACTTTGTGATATCTTCAGGTTTACGTGGACCTCCTGGAATACCAGGACCATCAAGCAATGACAGCATTATTAAAGGCCAAGCAGGACCATCAGGAAAGAAAGGGCGACCAGGACAGCAAGGACTTGAAGGCAATCCATTTTCCATTTGTATTGCACATCTTTGCAAATATAAACTTTACTTTACAGAATAAATTCATTTTGATTTCTTATAAACAGAATTTGATTACATTGTCTTACATGTTACAGGCAAAAAAGGTGCAAAAGGCATGCCAGGTGATATAGGGCCTGATGGACAGCCCGGCCCACCAGGAATTAAGGGTGTTGCTGGTAAACCAGGCAGAACAGGAACAACAGGACCTCCTGGGAATTCTGGAATAAAAGGCTTTCCTGGCCCAAGAGGATTTCCAGGGCTTGTTGGAGAGCCGGTACAGAGCAAACTGGATTTATCACATTGTGTTTTTTAATTCTTTTGTCATTAAATTTTTAATTAATTACATTTTTATTTTGCTTTTATGATAATAACACAATTTCAGACAAATGACATTCAACAACAAAAACCCAAACATCGCCAGCAACACAGAACATGACAGCACTTATCAATGATCTATTCACAGATATATCAATGCACATATTCATATTCACAGTATAGATCACACCCCAAATCCCTTAAGAATTTTTACCAACACTGTGGTCAAAATACACCCATGCTTAGCTAGCCTTAGGCTACTTGGCTCTTCACCTTATGTTTAAACTACCACTCAAGTCCATATAGTTTGCATAATCTCAGCCCTTGTGTATGACTTGTGTCCGTCCTTGTGTCATGCACAGGGGGACCCTGGCTCCATGGGACTTGTAGGCATCCCTGGGCTTCCAGGATTCCCTGGTGTGAAAGGTGAGTCATGAGATAGAGGATCATCAGTTAAATGCAAAACAATGTAATTTATCAGGCCCTTTATCTTACAATTACATACATCTCATTTGGTTATGCTAAAGGTGCTAAAGGACAGTTTCATGGGAAGCCTGGCCCATCTGGACCCAAAGGATTACCAGGGGAGGTTGGGCCCTGTTGTAAGTTAGAAATTTCTCTGCAGAATTAATTTAGATTATGTATATTTTCCATTTAAACTTTCTTTAGAATAGATCCGTTATTTCTTAAGATAAATATATAATCTGTTTTAGATATACTAATAACTAGACTCTGTTTGTAGCACTTAGGGGAAGTCCAGGAGATCCAGGTGAACCAGGAATCAGGGGAAGGTCAGGGCGACCTGGAGAACCTGGTATTCCCGGGGATTCAGGAAGACAAGGCAGACCAGGTGAACTTCAACAGATAATTAGATTTGAAAGTAAATGCACACCTGAGGCTGTAACCTTGCTCTGACTGGTGGTGATGCCCCTCAGTAAAGAAGTTCTGGGATCAATGCCTTGTGGTTCTGTTGTCCTTGGTCTGAACATTTTTTATTTCTTTACACATGCACAACAACAGTAGTTAGGTCATGAGAAAATACAGTAAGATGTTAGTGTCTTTGTTCCACCCTTAACAAGTAAAAATTCCATATAGCATATGTCATTCCACATGTCGGCTGTCCAGCTTTGTTGGAGACCAGACTGACGGTAACCCTGTTCTGAGATGTGTTATATCACCTATAATGGAAAGAAAACACTGTGAATTCACTTATGCTTACACAGAATGTAAAACGTCCAGAAGGTGTTTAGTGTATTTTATTTAATTTCACAGTCTTGAAGCTTTAAGAAAATATTTCTCTAATTTTCCTATTCTCACATCAGACATCCAAACGCTTTTAGAGTCATTAAGAAAAAAAAAAAGAAAATTTTTTGTGTTTTGATTATTTTGTTTCCAGAACTCTTATGCTTTTTCTATCCTCAGGAAATCCTGGGCCCTACGGTCCATCAGGTCCTCCAGGTCATTCAGGTCCTCAAGGTGACCAGGGAGGCATGGGAAAACCAGGTCCTCCTGGCCAACGTGGACCTAAAGGTACTATACATGAATAGCCCATGATGAGTTTGTGAAGAAAGTTTATTTTTTAAAACTGTGCACATCACAGTTTTTAATCTTCATCTGAGACAACTAAAAAATATTAGACGTAAAAATAAAAACATTTTTATATATATATATATATATTCTTTTTATAATGTTATTATATTCTAGGGTCTCCTGGGCCACAAGGTCTGCATGGGCTAGATGGATTAAACGGCCGAAAAGGAACAAAGGGAGCAAAAAGTAAGAGGAATGAAACTTTGTTCCAGTGGTGTCCATGACAAGTAGATGTTTTTTCAAGATCCCAAACATATTTCTTAAAAATGATTGTTGAAAATTATAGTGACACAAAATTGCTTTTAAATGTGTATCAAGTACATGTTTTTTTTGTGTTTACCCAATACATTAGTAAATGTGAGTACTTTATCTCTTATAGGATGGTATATTGCAACATTTACAATTTTTCTAGGCACAGATATTCCTGGCCCACCTGGACGATCCGGTTTTCCAGGAGCCAAAGGTGTTACGGGCTGCGTTGGACATCCAGGAGCCACACTTCCCGGACTGAAAGGCTCAAGAGGGCCTCGTGGTAACACAGGTATTGAGTGTATTATATATACGTTAAAATGTTTGATAAGCATCTGCTTACCTTACCTGTCATACATTTCTTTTGAAAATTAAAATCTAAAACAAATTACTACTTTCAGTCAAGTTGAGCAATCTTGTCCTTGAAAACCAATAGTTTCACTTCATTCATCCTCGTCGAATATTAATCCAGTTGTTCCTTGTCTGATCTGCTTGTGATTTGGTATTCATTCCTGCAGGTTCTCCAGGCCTGCCAGGAGAACCTGGTTACCCTGGCAAACATTGCCAAACACCTCTTCAAGGACCCTTTGGTGATCAAGGATATGAAGGGCCTCAGGGACCCTCAGGTGACTATGTATCATTACCATAACCAGGAAAAGACACTGTGTGGCTTACTGCAAAATTGTGTAGTCTCTGTGTATGCCATTCCCTGTAACTGTAATGTTGAATTTATTTCTAAGGTCCACCTGGTCCGCCTGGTCCACCTGGGCCAATGGGCCGCAGCCCTAAAGGAGACCCAGGAGAACCTGGTCTTCCGGGTTGTAAAGGAATTAAGGGCCTTCAAGGACCTCCTGGCCCTCAGAACTGTAACAGTTTGAATGGATCAAAGGGTATATTAAACTGCCTGTCTGAGGCCAATGGTGTTTTAAAATGGTTCAATTTCCTTGCACAGATTTAAAAATGTTGGAAAACCTTTTTAACAGGTGAGAGAGGTCCTGATGGTCCAACGGGTCCTATAGGGTTCAAAGGTCAAAGAGGTGTTCCTGGGCCTCAAGGCTGCAAGGGGGAAACTGGCCCAAATGGAACTGTAGGTAGGTAGCACAGTAGCAGAGAAATGAAATGGCTTGTATGTACTGAACTGTTAACATAATATATTTTGATAAAATCAGATGCATCTTTGTGATTTTTCTAGGTAGAAAAGGTGAACCTGGTGATCCGCTTGGATGTTTTCATTGTCCTCATGGACCTCCAGGGCCAAAGGGACACTCGGGTTTAAGTGGATTTCCTGGGATCATTGGACCATGTGGACCACCTGGGCAAAAAGGTACATTTTAAGTATTCTTTGTATCAACATATTTTAGCCCATTCCCGTTCAAATCTGTGCTGAAAGCTATTTTTTTGTTTGTGTTTTTTTTATATTCTTGTTTTATTTTTCGATGTACATTCCAGGAGAAAAAGGTGCAAATGGGTCTGTGGGCCCAACTGGCAGAACTGGTCTGCCTGGTCTTAATGGTCAAGCTGGTGACCCAGGGGATGTTGGTGTGCCAGGATTCATCGGGGCTGAAGGTCAATAATCAGATACTGTAAACTATCTGAAACTGTAAACTATCCTGACATTTGAGGGACATAATCTTTGTTTACCTGCTCCCTCCACAGGTACTCCAGGCCCTCCTGGCGATCCAGGTGCACCAGGCTCTGGACAGCCACTGAGGTCTGGCTTCCTTTTAGTCATCCACAGCCAGTCAGTGAAGGTGCCACCATGCCCAGCAGGCAGCGGTCAGGTCTGGGTGGGTTACAGTCTCATATACTTAGCAGGAAATGAAAAGACTCATACTCAAGACCTAGGTAAGTTTGTGTACATAAAGTTAGTTAATTCGAGTTTCCTTTTATTTTGTTCCGTGTGTCTGTTTACCAATTGTCTGTGTTTCACACCTCTTCCTGTAGGCCAGCCTGGCTCTTGCCTCCCTGTTTTCTCTACCATGCCTTTCTCATACTGTAACAAAGGTTCCTGCCATTACTCCAGTCGTAATGACAAATCCTACTGGCTCTCCACCACTGCTCCAATACCCATGATGCTGCTCTTTGGCTCAGATATTAGAGAGCACATAAGCCGCTGTGTGGTATGCGAAACGGCTTCACCTTCTGCGACTTTCCACAGTCAGGATAACATCCTGCCCCCATGTCCACCTGGTTGGAGGAGTTTGTGGACAGGATATTCTTTTCTTCTGGTGAGCTCACTAAAAGCATGACCATTTTTTAAAAGGTTTTTACTGTTTTTACTCCCCTAACAGAGCATCTCCTTTCCCTGTTCAGCACACAGGGACAGGTGATGATGGTGGTGGACAGTCTCTGACTTCTTCAGGGAGCTGCCTTAAGGATTTCCGAACTCACCCCTTCATTGAATGCCAAGGCGCGCGGGGCTCCTGTCACTACTTTGCCAACATCTACAGTTTTTGGCTGACAACTGTGAATCCGACGGAGCAGTTCATCACTCCAAAGCCTAGTACCCTCAAAACAGATGAGAAACAGCGACACAAGACCAGCCAGTGTAATGTCTGTCTGCGACAATAATGTGTATGTTTACAAAAAAATGTCCAACATCTTCTATGACTATATGTTTTAAACTCTTTTAAATCCTGTTTATAATCTCAGATTACCTCTCTGTGTTATAAATAATGAACGTTTGACAACAAAAACAAGACACTATATGACACTATTTGTATAAATCTCTTTTTTCATCATTGAAATATGTGTTACTTTATAAGGTTTTGTTAGAATTTTCTTTATCCTTGTGCTACAATTTAGATTGAATTTTAAATGTTTTGAAAAAAAACTATTTTCCAGGAAAATGTTAAATGTTTAGATAGCCCTCTATTCTATTCTAACTTGATCTTTTATGGAATATAGAAAAGCATTACACTTCATTCAGAGTTCCATTGCTAAGACACAGAAAATTAAAGATAGATGATAATGGATCGTTTCACTGAGAGACAGTTTTTCTGTTCTAGGTTTCAAGTTCATATTTTTTTATTTCTCTCAACAGAACCCATGTGACAATCAGAATACAATACTTTTTTTTCCTCCAACACATTTTTTCATTTTCTTTTTTATAATGCAAAACAAGAGAACACTCAGTGCAATAAGACAGAGGACTGACAGTGTGGTGCTCTCTCTACCTTTTCACAGTGCACGTTTATACACACAAAGAGATTGTACATCATCATTATTACATTTCCAAACTCCACCCACCAGTTTTATGACAGGGCAAAGTGAAAGTCTTCAAAACAATCATTTTTAACTTGCGACTTGCATACAGTGTAGCTTGGCACACAATCAGAATCACACGCTGCTCTCTCACTCACACACGCACAGTTACAACAAAGAGGGGGATCCTTGTATCGTTGATCCTCACCAAATAAGGGGTACTGCACTTGCCCTCACAGGGCTAGCTCAGGGCTCTAAAATCCATACCATTTTGGCAATTTTGACCATACATTTTATGTGCAAAAGAAAACCAATCAAGATTAAGTAAGGAGGGATTTGAGGTAGAGGGACAGAACAGGGGCAGAAGGACATGTATGCAAGCATCCTGATTCAGTGTGATGGAAGATAAGGGTAGTGCAGTTTACAAAAACCAAAAAAAAGAAAAGAAAAAAGATTTGTAGGCCCTTACTAGAGCTGTTGCCATGTGATAGGTCCTCAAACAATTTGATCTCTAAAATGGTTGCCAGCCAGTTGAATAGGAAACATTATCAGAGACAACCAAATGTAGATGACTGCATGTTACACATAGCCAGTCTCCTGAGACTTTACCTTCCAACAAGTAAATTGAAACGTACATGGCACAACTCATTACTCATTTTCAAAAAATATATATAAGCATAATCTTGAAAGTTATTTCTTAAGCAAGTGCATATGGCTATTATAATAATCTGCAGTAAAATTTAGAAATCCTCTAACAGCTCAGGTGTTGATTGTACAGGCTGGTTGTTGGCATCAAGTATTTACACTGTCACGGTGCTCGCAGTGTGCATGGCAATGTAAGGGTGCCGGGACTTTCCAGCAATTGCCACTCTCCCCATTTTGAACAACCAACCATCCAAAGTGCAACCACACCCATGTTTTACATGCTTTGGTAGGTCTTCAAAATTAAACTGTTCATTAATTTTTGTTCTAATTTACTAACTCTCCAACTCACCCTCACATCTTGGAATAAAGCAGAAACAATTCACACCTTCTCCGTCCACGACGAAATGCCAACCAGCACATTTTCCTGTAAAATTATTCGACCGCTTCAGTAGGCAGACACAGTGACAACACAGTTTCTTACCGCAACACACAAACTGAAGCACACAAAGTTTCCTGTTTCTGTTCTAGGACCAAATGTTGTACATTCTACAACACACTGGACCAGGCATGGAGAGCCCTGCAATCTAAAGCATGTTGATGTTCACTCCTCAACTTACAATACAACAGTACAAATGTAAAGTATATATAGATAGAATTGAGCAGTCCATTCATTTTAGTGCTTCAAGCACTCAAAAGTGTTGGGCATAAGAAAATTATGCTACTACAGTACAAGTATCAATAGATTATGCTTTCAAATTTCAAACAACCTAAAAAGAAATAAAGAAACAAACAAACCAAAAAATAAACAGAAAGCAAAGATTAGATTGCATCTACATCTACTATACATAATTTAAGATGCTTTTTGATCCCCATCCTTTCATTTAGAAAATATCTATTCATCATCAAATATCTACTAAATATAAATATACAATACAAGAGTCCTAAATATGATACAAGAGTCCAGTCACATGAATTAGAAAAATATCAAATATTGATGGTGATAAGAAAACATGACAACCTGAACAAGCAGAAATATTGCTGTGGTAACCACCATGGTCCTTTGACATCAGCAGTATCATCCTGGTCCTCTTTGTGGCTGCTCTGAAGTCCCTGATGCAGCAGGGGAGAATCAGCGCAGCCTATCAGGGAGAGGAAGCGGGTAACAGGGGTGTGGTGCAGAGATTGAAGTTATCTTAATGTCAGATGGCTGTGTCCCAGAATACAGTTTTCTGTGTGGGGTAAGGTGGAGGACGGATCTTCTTCGTTCCATTGCCCTTTCCCCAACCCGGGAGGACAGACGTGCTTTCCTGCTTGCACTGACTCCGCTCCTGGGGTCTGTCCTCATTCTTGTCTGGAGGTGGAGGCCTGTCCAGAGATTTCTGCAGGTGTGGATGCTGTCTGGAGCGGATCTCCATGCACAGGGTGCGCTTCCTCTCTATTTGTTCAAGCATTGTGGTGTCTCCACATATCCATGGCATCTGGGGCATCTGAGAGACAAAGTCAAACTATGAAATGAAATTAAACCATACTGACAGGATTATACAGAATTATGTTGGCCAGTTGTGACAATGTTGCCTGATTCTCCATCATATATAATAATGATTTAATGAGCAGTGAAAGACAGTGAATTTGAAAGGTAATTTTTTAAGGATTCGGAGGACATTGTAGTTGATTCATACCTAACAGATTATGAAAAAAAAAAACTTATTTGCCAATGCAGCTTTAAGTTAAAACATATTAGAAAGGGTCATATTTTAGGATAGATGTAGAGCATTCTGCTGAAAAACCCCAAATGTTAAATCCAAATATTATGCACAGCTTTGAAAAAATAGAGTAATAGAAGTACGAAAACTGACTAGAATGATTATCTCTGACAGCATCCTGCTGGTATCTGCAGCTATCTTTGTCCAATTCTGGTCTTCGCTGTCCCAATGTCTTTTATATGTTAAACAAGTACATATGCTGATGGATTTTTCTTTGTTTCTATTTTGTCTCATTAACAGTGTTAAATACAGAGAACTGATCAGGACAAAATTAACTGATACATGCTGATGATGTTCTTGAAAGGGTTGCACTTAATCATATCTAAATCAAAATCCATAACAGATGAAAGAAAACCATGGTTTGCTTTAATCTGCTTGATATGGATCTTCCCCGCGACCCCATTAGGGAATAAGCGGTTACGATAATTGATGGATGGATGGATGGATATTGATCTTAAAACACAGTCCAATTCAAACAATGAAGACCACAACACTGATCCTTTTTGTACTCAGCATATCAGCATCACCATTTGAAAATTGAAAGTATGTCTTTAGAGGTTTTTTATTATCTATCAAGAATATTTGCTAATAAGCAAACATCTTCCACAAGATTACAAGTGAAAGTTTCCAGCAAAGGGACCCGGGTCACTTGTGCCATACAAACTCACGATTTAAAATGAACTATGATGCACCAAAAGCACCTTGGATTACCACATTCACATTTTTCATATAATGACAATGTTAATTTCAGAATTAGTGTTATTGTTCAATAATGATAATACAATCTATATTGTATTCTGTGTGGATCTCAAGAAGTTATGAATGAAGGTGACAGTCTAAAAGAAAAGAACCAAAACTGCTGTGAAAATGGTTTCCCTGAATTTATAAAGCAGCAGCACCTGCATTAGAAATTTGACATATGACAGCTGAGACTTCAGGGTCTGTTTGAAACCAAATCACAGTTTTAAAAAACAATTAGATCAGCGTACCTGACTCTGGTGTGTCACTGCAGCTCTCCTCTGTGGTGTTCCCATCGCTGACGGGCTGGCAGGCATTGAAGGTGAGCGGCTGTACTTAGATGACGTCTTGAAATCTGCAAAGGAATGAACATTTAAGTTTACACGTGCCCTAAGACGGGCAGCTGGAACAAGTGCACTGCAACACGCAGTGGTGTGTCCGATTCTTTCTTGAAACTATGACAGAAACACTCACTGTTTCCGGTCCCCGTGGTCATTGGTGGGCTGCCGGATGACTTCCCGTGGTGTGTGGGTGTGGCCGTTGACGAATGCTGCCCTGACATTGTGCTACCGTTCCTCTCGTGTGCTTTTGATTGGTCCACGTTGTGATTTCCTCTGTGATCGCGCCGCGGTGTGCCATCTGACCTGAATCCTCGCTCCTTATTATCAGACCTATGCTCCATAGCAGAAGGGCTCTTTGTGCTCTTGACATCATAATGACGTTGCTCTGAGCCATTGGGACTTCTGTCTTTGCTGTCCCGTCGGACTTCAAGGCCTGTTCTACTCAAATCTTTACTGTCCTGCCTGGGTAAAAGAGGTGGCAGATCTCCTCCATTGTGGCAGCTTCGATCTCTTACATCATACTTGAATTCAACCTTATCCTTGTTGTTTCTAGATGTTTCTTGTCTGGGCAAGATCTCAGGTGGTTGGTCTATCCTCCCTTCATGCCGATGTTCAGTATCACTCCTTTCTCTCTCTTTGCTGTCCTGACGAGGTAGCAAATCAGGACGATGGTCTTTGATGTCATGCCTGTATTCTAGTCCATTTCTCGCTCTGTCTTTGCTCTCTTGTCGGTTCAGGAGCTCGGCTGGCCTGTCTCTGCTTTCAAGCTTTGAGTCCACACTGTTCCTGGCTTTCTCTTTGCTATCTTGTCGGGGTAAAAGCTCGGGTGGGTGATCTAGCAGTCTCTCTCTGCTTTCATGCCGATAATCTGAACCATTTCTGGACCTGTCCTTACTGTCTTGTCTCGGTAACAGCTCAGGTGGTTGATCCAGAAATCTGTCTCTGTCTTTGCTGTCCTGTCTTAGTGAAGTTTCCATTCCAGGTCCTCCACTTCGATCTTTGCTGTCTCTCCTTGGCATTAGGTCTCCATTGCTAATGCCTCTATCCTTAGAATCTCTTCTCATCAAAGGAATGGAATCGGCAGAGCTGCAGCCTCTGTCTTTGGAGTCCCGTCTCACAAGAATGGACTCCACACAGGCCAGGTCCTTGCTGTCTCTGGAAACCGGTGGTGTATCTACAGTGCTACAATTGCGGTCTTTACTGTTGCGCCTGTGGAGCACAGGTTCCGCACTGCTGCTGCTGGCCCTCTCTTTGTCTCGATCTCTTCGATGAGACGACTCCTTGCTGTGACGTTCTTTGGATTCTCGTTTGGACTCTTTGCTGTGACTGTGACGTTCTTTGCTCTCTCGCTTTGACTCACTGTGAGACTTGCTTTTGGACTCAGCTGTAAAAAAAGAAAAAAAAGAAGAAAAATGAAAAATATAATCATATGTGTCTTATGTTTCAATAATCAAAACAAAAAGCTTTATCATTAATTGTACATAGTCAGTTTTAAAAAAGGGGAGAGCCAGAAATACATTTGTTTATTTTATTTCTGATGTTGTAATGCCACCACATGTCCTCTAGATGTCCCTCAACACTCATTGAAATTATAGCTGTTGAACCAATGTTGTGTTAGCCGTGGTTAAAGATAATACTCGATTATTAATTTTTTTGTGTGACAAAAAGCTAATGTTTTTATTGTATTTCTCAAAGTTGTTCTATTCGATAAATCTACACAACGGCTACCAGGTAAATCTTTAAAATGACAGCAGGATCAAGAAAACATGGTTACAACTACAACATATATGTAATATGCATGAAATAATGGATGCAGTGTCATTTTTTAGGTTTCCTAATGATTTCCTGGACATTGCCTGTTCTGAATCTGCTTCACACAAAATCCCCTAAAACACTGGGAATGCAAATGGCGGACCTAACGTATGTCACTGATTCAACATCAAGCTCTGCTTGAATAAAACATGTGCATGACCAATTTCCATAAAGCATGCCTGCCCTTATGGTTTCTCCCTCAGTTTTACACTCCTGCGGCACTCACGGACATCATCTGTAATGCCTTCAGGTCTCATACCCGTCATTGTTAGGTGTGACGTCTGCAGATGCACGCACAAGTTTGTATGACAATGGGTTTGCTGATTAACCAAATGATAAGTGGGTCAGGCTAACCTTTGCTGCATCTATTGCCTCAAAACAGAAAAAAGAAAAAA